AGCGATATAGCACTCGATATACAATATCATACCGTACTGTACCGAGAGAATGTCGAAACTTCGGTACAGTACGATATTTCAATCCTTGGTTTCATATAAGGATTAAATTGTTTATTTATCGGTCCATATAGACCCCTTTTTTTGGAGACGGTGGATAGGAGTAGGGGGCAACAAGCGGGGACAGGGACCATGAAAGGTGATCGGCCCAGGTGGACTGCACGAGGAAGGGAAAGAAGATGGGGGTTGGGTTATTAAGGTTTTTTTAAAAAGTTAAAAATAATAATAAAATATTGGCCTTACCGCTCGGTTTGCAGGGCTACCAGGTGGTAAGCCTTGTACCATATGTGGAGTGCTGGAAATTGGATTATTCTCATGCTGGTTCACATCCGAACCTGGTCAATATTGGGGAGTACATATAGATCTAGATGAAATTGCATTCGTTTTCCATGTGTTGTGAATTTGATGTGATCATGCTTGTTTATGGATGCCATGAATCGGTAACAAATCTCCTGTGCATCATTGATTCTGGTTTGTATTGCACTTTGGGGGGGGATATCATGGTATCAACATTAGTAACACTATTGTGAACGAACCTCGTATTGGAAAAGCTCAAGGAAAGCCTCGTATCAACATTAGTAACACAATTGGATGCCTCATCTTCGGACTCCTGCCAACATCACGAGAACTGCTATCACTAAGTCATAGTGGATCATCATGGGCTTGCTACAGCTTATATGTCCATCCATTCAGGTGCTCCTTTTATATTTATGTTTTTCTGCAGTCTTAGAGCTTTTCAGGTATCTAGACTTTTCCTAAAAGCTCATTTGGGTTTTTGGACCTTTGTGCATTTGGTGATCTCTGTAAATTCTAGCAAAGACTGCTTCATCCTTGTTATTCCTTCACCATGAACAATATGTTTCACCAATGATGGATATGCTCCGACTATCAAGTATGCTCACACTGGGTTGGTACTTTGATTCTTTGTTGTCATTTTCCTATAATCATCAATCAAGAAGTGGATTGAACTATGCAATTCAGAAGAAGTAACAAAAATACAACCTAGGTTTATCGTAGATTTACCTGTTTAATTCAGATCCCAATGGATTTACACAAATCTGGGCTAGATTTATGCAAATCTACTTGGATCTGACCTATATTATAAAGATAAAGGCTAGATTTCATAGTATAGGTGGGATCCACATAGATCTAAACTATATCTATGTGGATTTAGGCTGGACTCATTTGGTCAGATTCATGTGTATTTAGCCTAGATCTACATCTTGGTTTGATTTGTACAGATTTGGGTTAGATATAAAGTAGAGTTGCACAAATCTACTTGGATCTGGCCTATATCTATAAAGATTAAGGCTGGATTTCATGGTCTAGGTTGGATCCATAGAGATCTAAACTAGATCTACATGGATTTAGGCTGGACTCGTTAGGTCAGTTTCTTGTGTATTTAGGCTAGGTCTACATGAATCTTGGTTCGATTTGTACAGATTTAGGCTAGATATATGTGAATCTGGGCTAAATTCACATGGATCTAGGCCAAACCTACATGGATTCAGGTTAGATCTACATGGATCCATCCTAGACATGATGGACTTCTTTGATTTGAGTTAACTTCAATTGTTCATATTCATTCCTTTGGATGGTCACATAAATAACTGCAATGCTTTCTATCATGGTAATCCCACTCATGTTGAGCAGGAAAAGTACATTCAAATAGGCATCAGGGATGCATTTCAACTGAAACAGATTGGTCATATGGTCATGTTCAGATGACATGCAGAATGGCAGCTGGTCAACAGAAGAAACGGTTAACAAGTTCCAACTTCCATGAACAACATAAAGGAAAGAAGAAAAAAAAGCTGGACTCATCTGACTACATATTAAATTTAAGATGTCGTGTGGATCTGGCATGGGATGACCGTCAAAGGAGAGTTGTGGCAAAGAAGGAACAAATCAGTTTATCATGGACAGATATTTCTCCTTTCCTTGACTCTGTTTCCCAGTCCCATGCTGGCTTAGCTGATGTTGTTTCTGTTCCAATTGAAATTTTTAGTTTGGACAATTTGACTGATGTTCTTTCTTACGAGGTATGATTGTCCTAACACAACTAATGAATTTTCTTTTGTAACCTCTGTTTCTTATTAAAATCATTAGTATCTATATTTTAAGTACATATTGCTCTAATGTTTTGTCAGGTTTGGGCTACATGTCTTTCAGAATCAGAGAGAAAGCTTCTCACTCAGTTTCTTCCTAGTGTGAAAGGTGCAGAACAAGTAGTTCATTCGTTGCTTAAGGGAGAAAATCACCACTTTGGAAATCCTTCCCTGAAATGGCAAGTTGAATTTTTGTTGTTGATTAGTTGCTTCTGGTCAGCTTCTGTTAATTGGAGTCTCCACTATTGAATCTGAAGGATGCTGATTTCCAGTTTTACAACATTTAATGTTCTTCTAAATAATATGAACTGTGGTTTTTTAAGGATATTTATCTACTTGAATTTAAAGACTTTGTTCTTAAATATTTTTTGTTTCTTGGAAAGTTTATCTAACTGATAATATATGCAAATTCACATAAAATCAAACCAAATACAAGGTAGGAGAAGTAATATGAGCTCAAATGTCATAAACATGTTACAAGGAGATATATTTATTTAGCACTAGGCTTTGTTCCGCAGATTCTTGACTCAAAACTGTTGTAGACTTATTCCAATATGCTCCACGGATCTGTATTGTCCTTGTTTTAAATTGCCGATAAGCCTGTTTGAAGGAGTTATCCTATACTGCACAGGTCTACTTCTCTTTGTGCTGGTAATCTTCATCCCGATATTCTTCTTCAAGTGGAGGAACAATGTCAACTCAGTAAGAGGGCATATTATTGTGAGATAAATAAGTATCACAAGGGGTATGTGCAGTAAAAATATATTAGGAGATTGCAAAACTTTGCATTCAAAGTACCACTTTGGGAGTTGTTAAGTGTGTTTAATAATATGCTTATGGTTGCAGCATGCTTGAGGTTTTGAAGAAATGGAAGGAACGATGGTTAAACTGCAAGGATCCAGAGTTACTGTTGAGGTTGTTTCTTCTTGTCTTTTTCTTTCCTACACATATGGATAAACATTTTTGCCTGTGGCCATTCAATAAAAATCTTTACTAGGTATCTCTATCATTGTACATTATTGACTACATGGTTATTTTTGCTTGAACACAAGCTTAGCTCCAAAAAAGAGGAGGCAAGGTACCATTTCTTCTTTTTGAGGGACACTTTGGAGGGTTTCTCATAGGTTGCATGTTTGCTACCAAAATGGTAGTTCTTATAACTTTGGAAATTTTCTTGGTTGTGTGGTTAAATTGCAATTGATATGGTAGGTTCCTATCCATTAAGGCGAACTTTATACATTATCTATCCTCTTTAGGTTTGATGGCAAGTTCACATCTTGGCTAGCTTTGTCTCGGCTAGGAAGCTATAAAGGTTTTCGAGTGGTATCCCAGTTTCACAGAGAATTAGTTATATGCATGTCTATAGTTCATATGACCTCACTGTTATATGCGAGAAACTTCGTTACAAGCTTTTGCTTTCCTATGAAGTTGAAATGGAAAAAGTTGAGTCTGTGTCAGAGTGCACCATACCCAGACACCATGTACAAGTCTTTCCTTTGCACTAACATGTGAAGGAAACTTGGTGGGTTGATCTCAATGCTATTCTGCTGGTCCTTAGGAGGTAAGGTTGCTGAAATTTTCTGCTGAGGCCCTTGGGTCAGATGTAAACATATTTGAAACTGTTTGGATGATATTTTCAATGTTGTAGCTTCAGGAAGATGGTGGCAGTTTATCGTTAGCTGCTGGAGATGGTGTTGGATTAGATGAGAGGAGAGATGGGGATTGAGATGAGAAGAAGATAAAGGAGGAGATCAGGTGGTCGGAAGAGGAGAGTTCCCACCTAATGAAAACTGAGGTCTGAGCAGCCAGGGAAAAGAAGAAAGAAATGTTAATATTTTATTTGCAATTGTCAAGTGCCATCAACATTTCCTCTCTTTCTGTAAGCTGTCTGTGCATCTTGAAGTTGGAAACTAAGCTATTTAGTTTAATCTATAGGAGTTTGACTATAGTCAAACTCATTACTAAATTGATCTAATAAGTTGAGCACCTTAAGTGATGAAATTATCCATTCAAATTAACTATCTTTTATTAATCTAGTTAAATCTGAAATCAAAGGCTCTTGTCTCGTATTGACAATCTTTTTGTCCCTGGACAGACCAGTACATGTCAGTCAGGACTCGTGTACCGAAACATGGTACACCTGTACATACTAAAGACTCAAAGAAGAGGAGGAGGGGGAAGGAACAGATGGCTGCGGAGGAAGAGGAGGAAGGAGGAGGAGGAAGACGAAGGAAGAAGAGGTGGCGGTGGAGGAAGAAGAGGAGGCGGAGGAGTAAGAGGAAGAAAAAAGAGAAAGAGGAAGGTGGAGGAGGATGAAGCGAACCCGAATCAGTGGCACATGAATGGGCGATGAGCGGCAGCAGGTGGCTCGCGAGTGAAGAGGGCTCGCAAACATGAACCCTATTCTGGTGTTAAATAGCTTTTCCTAATAAGCCAGACCAGACCTCTCGAAGTCTGCCAGTTCATGCCCAAACCTTACAGACTTGTCAGTTTCGTACATGTCCAAGTGAAATGGCGTTCCATGTATGAAATTAAAATAACATTAATCCAATTAAAATACCATTCCAGTTTGATTTTTCAGGCTTCTTCGGGGTGGAGAAGAGTGAACAGGGAGGTGCACCATAGGGCCAGAGTAGTCAGAAGCCTGCAATACTTGTATAGTTGTATAGATGAATACATATATATTCAGAGTTTGATACTCATCTATATTCTAGTACAACACTAAAGAGAATAAGAAGAAATGTTATATGAACAGCTTTTGGGGACCTGAGAATGCCTTTGTCTTCTCCTCTTGTCTGAATGTCTCAAAACGACCTTTTGGACCCATATGACTGCTAAAGACACAGGATGATTTGCTAGAATCCTACATGCCTTAGTATTTTATAATTATTGCATTACATCATCTAAAAACTCAAGAAAACTCCTATAAATGGAAAGTTAAAAAGATGCTCCTAAGCTGAATTGAATGCTCCAAATTCAACTTTGATGCTTAATTGACTGTATCGCAACGATCCAGCAATCTATACACATTAATCACTTTTGTTGCACATGGCTCATCCTAGTGCTATGAAATGAAGATGATTCATACCATTTAGGGTATGGACTAAAAATGTCTTTACACTTTTTGATGAGCAAATATAAGTAATCTTTCTTAATATTTGTTCTTCCTGTCAATCTGAGATTCTGAGATCATCTTGCGGCCTCTTTAATCTGCATTGAATTTAAATATTGTTGTCTCTCATGCTTCTTGATATTGTAGATGTTTGTGCTAGCCATATGGATGACATTTGAACCAAAGCCTTCCAGAGGGACTTTCATTGTGATTCTGTCCAATTGTCATGACATCAGTGATACTTCGTTGCTTCATCACCTACATAATGTGTAGAAACATCCTTACGCATCTTCTAATTCCTTTTCTTCCTTAACATCATCTTAATTTATTGTTTGCGATGGTAGTATTCAAGGTTCTAATACCGGGCACACTGCTTGAAACAACCTGGTATTTGGCAGTTTGATGGAAGGCCAACAGGTGAACTGGGCAATTTTGCTCGGTCGGTTTGAAGAAAGGATGTTTCTAATTCTTTGTTTTGGATGTGATAGGTCTATTATTTTCATTTTGGATTAGAATATGTTAACATTCCTACTGTTTTCAAACTTAGTAGTTGATATTAGATCTTAGAAAAATCTGGTTGAGAAAAATTTTAAAGCTTTGATAGGTCTATTATTTTCATTTTGGATTAGAATAATTTAACATGCCTACTATTTCGAAACTTGGTTGTTGATTAATAATAATGATAAAATTTGTTGATCCTTATCACAGTTTGTATCCTAGGAAACCACTGTCTTTCTATAGGTTTGGAAGCTATCTTCATAAATTGAACTGGCTTCTGCAAACACTTGTTGCCAATTTTTTCATAGATAATTGGGCTCTATGTGCATCCATTAGTATTTTACATTTGTTCTATTCCTCTAAGCTGAACACCTTGAATATACAGTGAAGGATATTGCGAGGACAAGGAAGGAAGCTTAGCTAATTCTGCTGAAAGGGCTAAAGTTCTTGCAATCTCAAAGAGGGAATCACCACATAAAGTCTATGATCATGCTGGTGACACTGATAAATACATGTCATATATTAAGGTCAGCTGACTTGTATGTCCTACTTATTAAGTAGTTAAGCTCACTTATATAGTTATATGGTAGTTGGTGCAAGTATATCTAAGGTTTTTAGACCAAAATAACTTCACTAAAGTTGAGAACATTCTTTTGACATGATATTATCTTTATCATCTAAATGCCTTTACATAATTGGTTGGCTTGAGTTTTATGGCTTTTGCCAGTTGGCTTGGAATGCACCTTGTATCTATGGACTAAACAATCTGCTAGTAACCATCTCAAATGAAAATGATATGAAATATATAAGTATCAGGACTGTATTTGATGTGCTGGGATGTTTTGAAAGTCAAATGAATATATCCTCATTAGGACTAAATTTGTAAGTAAATAGGAACTTTATATCAAATAACACGAGCTCATTTCTATTTGAAATGATATCACTTGCATCTCTCTTTGAAATGCATTTTATTATGCTTCATAAACTCAGATAAGAGTGATTGAATGATGACAAGTCTGTTATCTAATCCAGAATATTTCTTTTTGAATACTTAATGAGAAATCTGTTAGATAAATCATTGGAAATATCCTAAGAAGTTACATCCGTTTTTTATCTAGTGACAGTTAAAAGCAGATGACCTGAATTCTGTCTCCCAGAAATTTGATTCAGAAAAAGAATGTATAGTGGTTTAGTTGGACCTTCCTGTCTTGTTAGAGACATGGGGCTTGAGAACTTTTCTACATTATCTAGAGTTATACTTTGAAGATAGCCAACCAGTGAAATCTTATAAAAGTTATTTGAAATGCAAATGCTCATGGCAAGCACCTCCCAGCATCTAATAGTCCTGACTGTTTATATCAATGGATAAAATTATTCCAGCTTCTCTTCACAACCAAGCTATGCTACTTTTGACTCATTGCAAAAGTTACACAAAAATAACTTGTCAGATTCTCGACTTGTAGATATGCTATATAAAATAAAAAACCACGGTGTAAAGACTTTCTACATGGTCTGAATCCGGTTAGTTTGTTGCCAATGGAGATAAGATACCTCTTTCACACATATTATGTCTTGATACTCCTGCTATTGAGAAAATCATTAAGATTTTCATCTTGGTTTTGTTTATTATTGATTTGTATTGTTTGTTTTATTTTCTTCTTTCTGTTTTCTTGCATATATTTAGACTCAGATGTTGTGGAACTAAGTCCATTGGTTTAAGCAGACATTAAGAACACTTGGTCTTTGAATATTTTCCTGGTTGATCTTAAAATTTGATGCTTGTCATCATTCCCAATTTGGTACTTTATAAGCTTGAACTAAGTCAAGCTGCGTCTGTGTGGATTTTCTGCTCTTTTTGATAAGTTTTATGCACATTAGTTGTATATCTGATATGTTTCATATTTGTTGGATAGTTTTGGCATTTTTGTTCATTTCATTTATCTAACAGTCCATAAAAAGAAAGAATTCTTCTGAGTTCTGATCTGTAACTCAAAATTGGCTTTCTTTATGAGGCTTTTAGAAGAAATCTGGCGTGCTGGGTTATGATTGCAATCCTATGGTTGAAAATGCTAATCATTTGTTTTTCTTTTTTTTGTCAATACTTCAGGTAAGCAGGGCACAACATCAGCTGATCAAGAATATAAAGCATTCTGCTGATGGTATTCAACCTAAATTACTTGGTCGTGTGCTTGGTGACATACAATGCTTTCATGTTCATCCTTATGAGACATTTGAAGAGGAAGAAAAGAAGAGGTTGCATGAGCACTGGTTGGTTATCATTTCTCTCGTGGTCAGTTTGATGTCTGAAAGTTATTAGATTCTGAAAATTAAGCCTCGTGCAAGCAGGTTGCAAGTAGCAAACAAGGATCTCTTGGTAGCTTTTGAGGCTGCTAGGGGCCGGAAGTTGTGGAGAGAGCGATCTTGGAAATCTTTGGAACGGGAACTCGCAGAGAAAATGAAGTTTATAAATGATAAGGTATTCTTTGATCTTATTAGTTATTATTATTCCTTCATACATTTACTTTCTAAGTTAACCTTTGAAATCATTGAATATATAATGAAACTTTGCTTCATTAGTTCATGTTTTCATAGTTTATTATTATGGATATTCAAGATTTCCGTATATTAATTAATACTATTAGTAGTTCTTTAGATGCTTGCCAATATCTTGTAGAGGTAGCAAAGAGAACTCTAAGCACCATCCATGGTAATGAAATCTGTACTCTGTACATGCTATGAATTAGTTGGTAAATTGCACCGGTGCTTGCTGAGTTCTTCATCCCTTTCCAGTATATAACATCCATGCACATGCCTCAATGGGCATGACATGGCATGAACTTTCAATAGTGCCCATGGACTCCCTATCGTACTGGCTGACTGCAATGGTCAGAGTATGCTGCTCCTTAAAACTTATCTGCTTATATAAATTGTGATGCAGAAATCTTCGGTGATGTTTTTTGTTTGCATTTATGCATACACGCACACACATGCAATTCATTACTACATATGCTCACATTATAAAAAACAAACTAATATTAGAATCTCAATATCCATGTGCATGCACACTTGGATGAATAGAGATGCGGGTATCAGTTATAATGTAAATGTGACTAGTAACTATTAAGTATTACGTATGCACATGTGTGGTCACATCATAGACAAATATAAGAAAGGATGTTGATTGTGGTACTTGATGCCATTTATTTTATTTAATTAAAGGGTAATTGCTAGTTGATATTCTCCACTTGCTCTATCCTTAAAACACAGTTATGACTTGCCATGCATAGATTCTTGGACATCTGAGTGTCCCATCTCTGATCAACGATACGGAGATATAACTCAAATGTCCTCGAAGCAGAAAGTGCCTTCCTGATCTCCTTTATAGTGCAGACATGTGATATACATAGTCCATCTACTATGATAGAGAAATACATACAATGACCCCATCATGACAATGATTTCAGTCACTGCATCTCAGAATCTGCAGGATATATAGAGCTCCATGACCTTTTCATCTGATGAGCTAACCCAAAATGTAAACATAGTTTTCAATCCGATTATTCTTTGCAAGATAAACTTTAAGGAGATGGATTGGCAAACTAAGTAACACAATGCCACCAACCTTTTTAAGGTTTACATTATCGTTGGTTATCACTTTTACTACAAACTGAGGTCTAATCACATTTATGGGTCTCAATAGTGCATTGTGAATACAATTTGATGCAACAACCAACTTGTGGAAGACTATTCTGTTACAATATATCAAGAAGTTTGGGATATTCATCCTGATAGGGTCAAACCAGCTATGGTACATGATTGCCATATCATAGAGGATCCGACTTCTTAAAAGCAAGGTTTTTAATTTTGAGTATCAAAGCCATATCATTCCTGGCCCAGACCAATATGGGTATGAGATTTACCAATATCAAATTTCAAAAAAAAATTGAAAAAAAAGATGAAAATTATAAAAATTACTATCTAGTAGAAGTCCTGTATCGGATGGTATAGGCGTTGAACTACGCTTGGGTACAAGCCCTATACCTAGCAGACCACCTAGTTTACCCAAGTCCTTGTGCCAACAAGCTGTGGGATAAGTAAATACTACCAGTACGGTATCAGATGGTATTGCAAACCTTGCTCAAAAGTATTAATTTAATCTTTGACTCCTCAACCACTTTATCAAGATATCTACCGATAGTCTTACGTGGAGTAGGAGGTTATACACCAGGGCATGCTTCTGAATGGACACTAAGGATTGTAACAAGGATCTCAAGCTGCATTAATAATGATGCAATTGAAATTGAACCATTTTGTAATTGCTTTACCCAACGTTTCGTATCATACTGCCTGATATGGGTGGTACGTTCCAGTCCGTCAACCTATCGGCACGCAGACCGCCCACGATCGGGTGGTATCAGATTTTTGGCCTCGTATCGGACGATACGAGGTTGTACTGGGTGGTAAAGGTCAAAATTTCGACCATTACCGACCTGTACTAGGCATTACATAGTAGTTGCCATTAGCCCAGATGATCGCCCCACGATCGAATATTATGTCGTTCCGCCACTCGCCGACGTATTAGTTCCCCTCTGCCACACGTACTGGCCGCAGCTCTCCTGTAGGTTGTGCCACTAGCCGCCCTCGTGATAGTCGTCATTGGAGTACCACTTGTGTTCGAACTCGTGCTCTCGGTCGGCGATATAAGAATCGGGTCTGGCATTGCCCTCCGACTCGATGAAGGTTCTGAAGCCTTCCATCCGGTCGGAATGGAGCTCGCTCATGAAGGTCGCGTTAGAGGGCCACGAGAACTTTCCCTTTCCGGAAGCCTTCCCCCTCCGCCACTCCCCCTCGTGCATGCACTAGTCAGCCCCAAGGCACTTCGCCCGTCGGTGGGGGGAGTTCTCCGCATCCACGATCAGGTACAAAAACCCTAAGTTGCTTCGTGTTCTCCGCTCGGTACGCCAGTATGGTATGAGATTAAAAACCTTGGCTTTACCTATATACCTCTTCTTCTCTTTAGTATGTGTATCATCGATCCTTGTTTGTTTTGTAGTTTGAGATGGGAAAGCTATGGGATTTATTTCGACTAATTAAAAGCTGGCCTACCAAATGAACAAAGTAGTCTATTCCAAGCGAGTAGTATGCTATGTAGTCTCTCAAAATGATTTGTGGAATTGAATAGGAAAACGAGTTGATTCTTTGGAGAAATTGTTTCCTGGTGCACATATCACTGGATTTTCACCTAGTTTTGTTGTAGAGATAAAAGAATTTTGTGAGTTACTAGTGGCAAAGTGATAGATAACTCCTGGCTTACGGTCTTAATTGAATTTCTCATGGTGCTGATTTACATAAATTGAATTCTGTATGATAAAACCTTAGTTAATTGTAGTTTGTTTTACTTTGCCTTTGCCTTTTGTGAGATATTTTTGCTTTTGTTGACAACAGGGTAGTCTACATTTTTTTCCCTGCTCTTTGCTGATTTCTAATTTCTTTTAGTTTTTTTCTGTTAAGCTTCCATCTATGAAAAAGAGGTTGGAGATGCTAACTTTTCTATGGCTAATTGATTAGGATGATAAATTAGAAAGTTCTGAGGGCACCCCAGAAGAACCTACATATGATGGTTATTGCAGAAATCAACATACCCAGGATATTGATGACAAAAGTTACGGCCAGTCCAAAGATAATTCCATTGATGACCATCAGTTGGAGCTCATTCCTTCTCCGAATAGTCACAAGGAACCTAGTCTTATCATCCACAACCAAGAAGAGACATTACAACAGGATGATGATTTCTCTCCTCTTTCGCATGTGGAAAAGCAGAATCCTAAAAACATGTGGCAGACGGCAGGTGTTTCTGATTCTTATTACCATTCTACAGAGAACCATGGTTACACATCAGCTAGCGAGTTGTCTCTTCGGCAACCCCAACTTACAATAGAACATCCAACTAATATGATTGATCTAGAGAGAGACATAATAGAATCCGAAGGTGGAGAGTCCATTCCATCAGCTTTTGATGTAGACGGCCGGCCTTCTCTGTTTTGTTCATTTGGTCGAAACGAGATGCTTCCAACCTTTCCAAAGGAACCGAGAGTGATGTCATCTTATCCAGAACATATAAACGGCATGAAGCAACCTGGATTGCAGTTTTTGATGGCTAATGATGATTTGCAAGAATCTAGCCTGGTTTCCAATCAATTGCAGGAGCAGCAGCAGTTGATAGAGCAGAGAGATGTAAGGGAGAAAGAGGTATATATGCAACAAATCATACCCAAGAAAGTATATTCCACAACCAGGTACCCAACCCAAGGGTTTCCATCAGTTGATCGTCAGAATCTTGCTGCTGTTCAGTCATCCATGAATAGTGGTACCCGAGGCTACAATTGGTTTCCCGGTGATGATCAGTCTTACAGTAGTTGGTCTGCAGTTGAATCATCGAGGGGTGGTGGCCACTGTTTGGACGATGGTGGCAATGCAGATGGGAGCCTCTATAGTGTTTTATCTAACAAGTTGTCAACGTGCTCACCATATGACAGTAATAGTTCAGAACAGTATCTCCAACCAAGAAGCTTTGTTGGAAATGTTATCCCCAGTGCTCACAATATTTATGGGTACGGACAGCATCAACCGGACAACCCAAGCAGCCATCAAATGGGTGTTACTCCATCAATGAACAACGGGTCATGGATGAACTTTCCACATCAAAATCCGGATCTTCACGATCCTTTGGGGAGACCATTTCAAAGGCCATGGGATCATCAGTAGCACCTTACTGGAGGCAGAACCCTCGATCAAGTTCTCCTTTTTGACTCGTTTGCAGGCTGAACCCTCTGTCAAGACATATTTACTCGTAAAGAGGCTCATGTGCAGAATGCACCAAGATGACTTCATAAAATTTAGTTATTTGGCCTTTGTGGGGTGGCCTCTCTCATAACCGGTGCTTGCAAACACTACGAGTTTGGTGGTTTGTACATATATCCTGAATGCCATGAGGATGTGGAAGGGGAGAGGAACAGAATGCTTTGGTTTCAGCAGGGATTTTTTTTTGTTACAGCTTTTTTTTTTATTTCGCATTGTATGAAGGGTATTATTATATTTTTATGTTGGGAACGAGGGTTCCTTCCACAAATAAAAAGTTTTGATTATTTACATAAAATAGTCCTGATGATGGCAACTACTTTATTTGAACCTGAATGATCTAACGACAAATGCAACCATTTGATTCATTAATCCTTTGATTAAATTAGCTGTGAGAGCAGGTTGGTTTGGTTTCACGGCAAAATGCAACCGTTTGATTTACAAATCCTTTTGATTAGATAAGCCAGGGGAGTAGGCCAGGAGGTCAATGGCAGGTGCTGTGACATCGCCGCCATGGGATTGGTCAGATTCCACGCTCAAATCTCAACTGCTGTTACATCGCCGCCACACATACATACTGGCATCACACACAACTGAACTGATCGGAAAGATAAATGCAAGGGTTAAATTACCTTTCATCACCATCATAAGCTGAGCTCATACGAACTACCGATGTAATGATAGATAAATTTCTCCCTCGAGCTTGAGATTAAGCAAACTGATCCCCCCAGGCTCTACGCCCAAGCGGTGAGAACTAGACAGACTACCGCCACACTCCCCCATTTCTCATTGACCCTCCGTACCACACCAGACTAGCTTTGGTCAGAAACATCAGTCCGGTGAACGTGACAGCTTGCCATACTACTTCCCTGCATGTGCAGCCTACTAAAAGAAACATACATACTTTCTTTGCCGAGCAACATAATCCAACATTTGCTGCATAAGCCACGAAATATTAGTATGATCACCAGCAGATTATAAGCAAAAAAAACAATTAATTCCAAATTGCTAGTTAGTCAATGGTCACTTCAAATATTAATTAAGCCACAAATCTGCTAGACCCTGACAAGATTCAACTCAAAAATGATCCTTACGAACCTACCCTAAAGAACAAGTTCTCTCTCCAGAACAAAACCAATGTCCACAACAGAACATCCTCCACAAAAAAAAAACTAGTTATTCAACTTGAAGACCATCATTCAGGGATAATGCTGCCAACTGATCAGCTGGAGCATTCACATGCTGGTGCTGCTGTGAAGCATTCCTCAGGACTTCCATAGCTTCTGCCACTTTTGCTTTCAATGCTTCCGGAGACTCCAACAAATGCAGGACTTCTGTCTGGTCCATCTCCAGAAGCATTCCAGTCACTTTAGCTGAATGATCATGTTCCAGTTGGTCCACCAGTGGGTACAGGCTTTCACCAAGCATCTGGACAAGAAAAACATGTGCTGGTAAGAGCAAATTAAGACAACCAAATGCATTCAGAGAAACACTACTCAAGATATAGCTGAAAGTTCACAGTTGACCAACTACTTCACTAGTCCATGTTAGTGAAGACCATCATAGGAACTATGATATGACACCAGAACAAGAAAACCCAAGAGAATTTACAAAAAAAAAAAAAAGGAGCATGAAACAACATTATTGAGCAAATCAATAAAATGAGAAAATTAAAAAACCATACACGCACAACATATATGTAGCTCCTTTTATGTTTCATCTTCTCAAGCCAACAACCCCTCCAAAAGTTAAGATGTAAGAGTAAAGCATCAGAGGAATATCGGTACATGGTTAAAACAATTGTGAAACTTTTGATCTCTTCCAAGCTTTAAATGTGGCTTTCAAAGCTCATATCAGTCTATGGAATAGATGGACCACAAACTGTCTAGTTCAGCCCAAAGACATTGGGGTATAGTAATAATCTCCTGTACATGGTTGAGAATCTGTTTTAAGCAGCAATATCTTGTCAGCAGATGTTTTAACCAGTAAACATCTCGAAATGTTTGGTCAAGGTCCAAGTACTACCAATGAAACAGAATTATGAACATGTACCAGGACTTGTATTTAGGTTTACAGTAGTCCACTTTTGGATTAACCACACTGCAAAGAACAATCTTAGATTCAATGAAGATATCAATAAGGTCAGAAAAAGCTGATGAATTGCCCACAGATAGAAGGATAAAAAAATGTAACAAATATTAGAATGCTCTCAACTTATCGATGGATAAATGTAACTTTATCCTTCTAACAAATATTAGAAGGATAAAGTAAATAAACATCAAGCAGTATTTTGGTGACTGAATCGATGGTGAAGAGATCCATAATGAACATGATAAAAGAAGAAATAATAGTCATCGGGCACCAAGGGGCTCGCCTAGGTGCCCAAGCGAGGTGAGGCCCGAGCGCCTACCTAATGGTTTGGGTGGGTGTCTTCACTCAAGTGAGGCCCAGGCAAGCGCTGGGCGAGTCGAGCAAATGCTTGGTTCAACTCAGACCAATTTGAGCTTGAGCTCGAGCCCGAGTTGAACCAAATAACTATATCTAGTTTGATTGAACCAGTAAAACCCTGAGTCGACGAGCATAGTGTTTAATTGAGACTTGTCCACGCACAAGGCGTAATGCAAAAACCCTTTCACTTCGTTTCTACACGACGACGGAGATCCTCCCATTGACGAACTGTCACGGACAAACTTCTAAACAGGATGTTTGATGTAATGCTTATGTATGTCCGTATCTTTTGGTATGTTCATACTTTGCCTAGCATGTAGAGAGACAACCGAAGGCTTAATAGTCCCATTTTAGTTGGGTTTGGTGACCGTTTTAGGCTTGTAAATAAAGGTTGTGTCATGTGGACACTTGTGAGAGATTATCGGTCTATAGTGGATCATTTTACCCTTTGTTGTGCAACTGTTCAGAGCTTATAAAGTCTGTTTGTAATTTGCATTGTCTATGAAGTGTTTTCGAAAATGTTTGCTTGTGGATCCCGAATGAGGCGTTTTCTCTAACCCGTTCTCTCTTTTGTGGGTCCTAAAAAACATGGGAGGCTTCGAGGAGACTGACCTTTGCGGATGGACACACAAGGGTGCCACACGACTTAGGCAAAACCAGCTAAGTCTGTGATAGAACGACGACAGCAATGGCAGCAACAACATCTTCCTCCAGCAGTAGAGACAACGACAACATCTTCCTCCAACGACGACGATAGCGACGATATCTTCCTTCGACGACAACGGCAACAACTTCTTCCCCTCCCTCCCTGTTTATCTCTCTTTCTCCTCCCTCCAACCTTTGTCGTGTTCACCACAACACTCTGCAACCTCTTCTCTCTTCCCCTCCTTCCCTGTTCACCACTGCCTTCTTCCTCGTTCATGGCAGTCTCTTCCCTCCCCTCCCTCTTCCCTGTTCATCGCTGCCTTCTTCCCCTTTCACCACTGCCTTCTTCCCCATTCACCACAGCCCTCCTACAGCCTCTTCCCTCTTCCATCTTCCATCTTCCCCTCCCTCTTCCCCATTCATCGCTGCTTTCTTCCCTTTTCACCACTGTCTTCTTCCCCATTCACCCCAGCCATCCTACAGCCTCTTCCCCTCACTCTTCCCCGTTCACCACTGCCACTTTGTTGTTTGTTTGTTTGTGAGAACAGCAACTGCTGCCTGCTGTAGTGCAGCAGTAGTAAAATGTCAATTATTATTGCTATTTTTGTGGTGATTAGTGCTACATTTTGTGTTTTGGATTGTCGTTACAGCTTTAGATGGTGACAAGATTGAAGATGATAAACTAGATTTCAATCATCTTTGATGTTAATCTTGTTTTATTTTATCATTTTTTTATTGAATATGAACAATGTAGTTCGGTAGTTTAAATGAATGGAAGTTTGATGTGTTGTTTTTGTTTTATTTTTTTATTATAAATGATATATAATTTTTAAATTATAATATTTGAGAGCACCTCAAGCATTTTGGGATCGTTGAGCCTTTTGATGCCTACCACTTTTGACTACATTGGTGCACAAAACCAGATTGTCTAAATTTTACAAAAGATGCACAAAAACATGGTTATTTATGAGCACATACCGTTCTTTGCTGCTCAGGGTTTGCATTAGCAAGGGCTGAAGCCAGTGTCCCGGTGGGAATAGGTTGTGAAATGGCAGCCTCTCGTATAGGCAAACTACCCATATCATAAGGTGAGAGCATTCCTCCAGGTGCACCAGGCATAGGAACCTCAGGTATGTTGCGCCCAGGAGGATAGCGAAAGACACGACGTGGAAGCATCTGGAATGGAATAATATCAACAATATTAACAAAGTGAATGAGCCTTGTGAATGGATTAAAACAAGAAAAAACAAACCAATAATTGTGTATGCACTTACACATAAAAGAATGATACAATGAGTTGTACTGCACACTGTAAATCATATATTACAATTGCATGGAACAATGACCATCATACACTCTAGGCATGTTGTTATTCACACTATTTAATCATGCTGTGCCAGAGTTGTCTACCCTATTGGTTAACCTTCAACATGGTTATAATTGCCAATTAGAGCCAGGTGCTTCCCGAGCCTGTCGTAGAATCTATATCAACCACATACTCTGATCAAACCACATCAATGTTACCAACCGTAGAATAATTAAACCTATCAAATGGAGCAGTGGCAAAAGAGAACTATTTTTAAGCACAAGAAGAAATCACAAACCTGCTGCTGAATTAAAGGCATCGGCTGATGTGTTTGTTGCACAGGTCCAGCGCTGGCACGTCTCCCCCCAGGGCGTGTCTGCTGACCTTGTTGGACTAATGGCAAATAGAAATTTGGCATAGGAGCACCCACAGGCCTCATTCCCGGAACATGCTGTTGTGGGAAGCCAAATCCCGGCTGCGAATGAAGATTCTTTTAGGCAACCATGCAACTGACAGTAAGTATTAATTACAAGCCAAATCTTTCAAAGGAACATAAACTTCAAATTTGTTCAACCTGCCCAAAAGCACAAAAACAATGTACTCCATGGAAATTGAGAGTAAAATCTTATGCAAAGGCATGTTGTGTGCATCCATGTTTACAACAATGCAACGTTAATGAAAACAAGTCGACTAGGATTATCAATTGATCATATCCAGCTTCAAAAGTTTAGGTACCACTCCATATGTTCCATGACTAACAAAGTAGCAATTATCAGTTATAGCTTATCTTGCCACTATTCCGCGAGAGTTTTTAGAATTAGCTTCAGAGACCTACTTGGAGTACAACTGATGTATCAATACTAAAAATATTGCATTGAAAGTAAGATCACCAGGATTCATTTTCCATAAGTCAAGGTTTCTTTTAAAAAGATTTTGAGACTCTAGATTGTCTAAATTCAAAATGTTTCATAATTCATCACACAGTTTCTTCAACTATTATTCATTAAGCATCCAGTGTATGACACATTAATAAGTTTAGTCATCAAGCATCCCATATAGGAGCGATGGCTACAAGGGATTAGAATAAATTTTCTTTTGCTGAAACAGAATTTAATGAATGCAGTAGGATTTTAGTCCAATTCTTAAAATAACATCTCAGTATTAAAAATTCAAACAAAACCCATCCTCTTCCTCATTAAAAGAGTGTAAACCTACTATATGTTATTGTTTCTCTATCTGCAATCAAGATGAGCTTTTATGTTATAACACAACATTATTTTTGAACTACAATTAACCATGTCCTTGCAGATTAACACTAAATCACATCAGATGTCAGTAAAGAAACCAAATAAATTCATATTTTCATAGGCGTACTCTCAATGTATGCATAATAAATAGAAGATTAAAGATAAAGCCAAAGCAAAATGCTTAAGAAAACATTGTACCTGTGGAGGAATAAGGGCATGCGGAGGTTGACCATAAAAGATTTGTTGTCCCAAACCAGGAGTAGCAGGAGGGTACATAGGCACCCTAGGACCAATGGCAGGTGTCATTGCAACTGGCCGCATCTGTGAAAAATGTGCCTATATTGAACAAGATCAAGCAGACATGTTTTAGTCAATCATGTCAAAATAGTTAATTTCTTAGTCAATCATATCAAAATTGTCAAGTAGAACTATGCAACAGTGTTGAAAACATGACCAATCATCAGGAAATATATGAAATAGACTGAAAATATACATCAACCAGAAAGTAAACCACCATGGCGACAGTAATTCACAACAAAATCTATATTGCAAAAGAAACAATTAATAAGCAAACCAATAACTGCAAAGAGCCCAGGGAATATATTGTACAGAATCTAGAAAAAATCAAAATCCAGTAGAACTCAGCAAATAAAAGACTAGCTGATTGACAGGTTCCATCCAAACTACCTTAAAGGCTTAAACAATTCACCCAAACCTCAATTGTTACAGCCAAGGCTTCAAGATTCAATCCAAGACCCATACCATTCCTAGCCTCAACAATACAAGTCCTTCATATACCAGTATACTAACTTGCAGAATGCTGGTGTCACAATCAGCAGTCCTTGAACAATTGTTACAGCCAAGGCTTCAAGATCCAATCCAAGCCCCATATGTTCCTGGCCTGACCAATACATGTCCTTTATAAATCGCTGTACGAACTTGCAGAATGCTGGTGTCACAATCAGCACGGCCCAAAGAGAAAGGAGAGAAGAAGTTGGGGAGGAGGAAGAGGAGAATAGCTTCACATGCCATCCAGTGAGGCAACAGCAGTGATGATACAAGGAGGAGGCAGCATGGATATGGTAGTAGGTAGACAAGGTGGCAGCGGCATTAGTGGAGGTTGCATCGTCCGAGTGATAGAGAGAAAAGTCGTGTTTAAAGCAAAAAAGTTTACTCTTTTCCTTTACCATCTAAAACAGCTAACTTATCAACAACTGTTTTCATCTGTTAAAATTTAAAATATAAATAAAAAACCCCAATTTTGAATTGGAACAAATATAACTGCCCTGTCAGCATGCACCAATCGGTATATACCAATCAAAAAAGTCATTTAAACCATGGGTACAAACTTGATATGGAACTTGTATCTAACATGATCAACCTCATCATCTTCATCTTATTTACAATTATAACATGTAATTTCCTTATCATCCAACATTACAAACCATAAAGCATGGTTGGATCAATATATGACTTTGAAGTAGAGGGTAGGGCCACTTGACTTCTATATACAGTATCTAGGTAGTGAAGGCACCAAAATAGCTTTCACATAGCATATGAAAGGCTTGTTCATTAACTGAAAAAGACAGTAGGATAAATTATCTGTGAAATTGCATAAGATAAATTACCTGCAATCTAGCTCTCCTATCTTCTTTCGATTGTGCAAGTGCAACATAGAGTGGTTTTCCATTAATCATCTTCCCATTCATATCTGCAAGCTAATGGAATGGAAAGAATCTTGTCAGTTCCAGAATATTATCCAAATGCTGAAAGAAAGTCTTCACTTACAGCTCGAGCTGCTTCCTCAGGAGTCGAGAAAGCAACAAATCCAGAACCTTTACTTGCACCACTGGGATCCCGCATAATCTGCACAATTGACATATATCAGGGTAACATCTTAGAGAAAAGCTCCATGATTGACAAAAATAAAGCATAATCATGGCAAAAATGCAACAATACCTTGCAAGATGTAATAGTACCATATTCAGAAAACAATTCTTTCAGTGAATCATCTCCGATGTCATCATCTAAATTTTTCAAATATAAGTTGAGTCCTTGATATTTATCTGCTGCTTCCTTAATACTTTGATCGAACCGTCCTTTCAGTTCTCGTTCCCTTTCAGATTTCTTCTGTGCTTTTCCAACATACCACTCCTTCTCATCAAATTTCTGCCCATTGAGTTCCTGAACTGCCTGAGCAGCAGCATCCGTATTTTCAAAATTCACAAATCCAAAGCACTTTGATTTTCCATCCTCCTCCCTCATAACAACAGCACTTGTAATTTTCCCATACTTGCCAAATATTCTCTCTAAATCTTCCTTTGTTGTAGATTCCGATAGGTTTTTGACAAAGACATTATTAAATTTTGCCTTGTCTGCTGAATTTTCCCTTTCTTGTTTACGAAGGAAAGGTCCAACATAAACTGGCTTATCATTGATAAGCATACCATTTAATTTGTTAATTGCATTTTGTGCCGCCTCCTCTTGATCAAATTGAACAAAACCATAGCCTTTTGACTGGCAAGAAGGATCAGTAGCAACCTTGCAAGAAAGTATGTTTCCGAATACAGAGAAGGTATCATACAGTGCTTTGTTGTCTATTGTTTTGTCCAGATTCTGACATGACAAGTAACAAGAAATAATCATTAACAAAAAATTTGATTAATTAAAATAGTAAACTTATAAAGGACTTACAAACCACATTGATAAGAAAAATAAGAAGATGCAATACCTTAATAAATATATTAGCAGCCCCACTTCTACGAGTGCTAGGGTCCCGGTTTGAATACATTATACGAATAGGCTTATTGTTGAGAGGCGTGAAATTCAGCGCATCCAGTGCCCTTGCAGCTGTCAACCACGCAAGAATAACAGGCAACAAACAAATTAGCTAGGCATTATCAAGAAACACTAGGTTTTTCTTTCCTATTAAGATTTCAGGGATGAAGACAAAGGAAAGATTGCACACACATAAAGCAAGACCAAAGACCACTCATAGAACTCAAGATATAGAAGTAATTGGAAGATCCAATATTGGGAAAGAATTGCAAATATGGTACAGAATATAAATAACAAGATGATCTAGTTGTGCATCTAAGTCACAAGAAGGATTAGTCAACAATTTAACTATTTTAGGTACTGCAACCTAATAAAATAGGATTTAATATAAAGCAATGTTATTTAACCCACTTCTTAACTCAGTATAGCTACTACCATTAATATATGACACTTGCAACCGTCAGCGCCTCTGTTACATCAATACACAAATACAATAAATCATCATAAGATGATGTATCCATTGAAGGAAATTTCAAAACATGACAAAAACTTAGTAGTGATGTTCCCATAGAGCATTATATATGTTAATAACAAAATGATCAACCAACTTTACAATAATACAATGTTATCAAAAGCTCGGGCCGAATTGAAGAATTACGATGGCCTCTCAGAATCTAGGCAATCAAAGTGAAGCGCATGCCTCACTGAAGCTGGTTGCACTTTTTCACAAAAGACCTGAAAAGATGAGCTTACAAAAAAAATCTAGAACTAAAATTACTTATCATTCAATATTAAAATAATCAAAGTTGGCTTATTGGCTCAGGCAATAAATCATTATCATATTTGCAAATATGCCATTACACAAATGTGACTAGGTCGATTCTGTCAACAAAAACATATATAGCATAAAACAAATTGAATTTGCATCATTTGGGACAGATAAAGAGTATTTACGGTGGACACTAACAATTGAATATATAAGAGGCTCGCCTTTCATGGGTCTCTCAAAAGGCATATGAGATGGAAGCCTTGAGCATTCCTTGGAGCCATGGAGCTTCAGGTGATGTTAAACACAAAAAACAAAATGAAGTCTCAGTGCGCCTAAGCGCACCTAGCATGACAAGAACCCAAATCTATGAGCCTGATGCCAACGAAAACTAGGTACATGTTATAATTTGGTAGCTGAATTATGCTAGTCAGCATTTACAAAGCATTTGGCTCCTACCAAGAGAATTAGCCAGTCATTTGGTTCTTACCAAAGAGACACAGGGTCATAAGACTTTTTTTCCTGCTTTAAATCTCTACTATCTTTTTGTATCCTCTCCTCTCCATTCTTTCCTCACTCCATTTTTCTCTCTGATTCATCAATTTATTTTGACAACATGTAATTACACCTAATGAAGCCAAAAAAAAAAAAACTAAGAGATACATCTTTAATTGAGGCTTATTCCATTTAATTGACCTTAATCATTTGTGAACATTCAAGATGAGTTAACTAAGCTCAAGGCATGCATCTAATTGTCATAAGTTAGTTATTTAACCTGAACCATCAACATCTTTTTCCTTTGCTTTCGTCTTTTATTTTGCATGTTTATTGGCTATCCTACATCTATTTTTCACGTGGAAATCTTATTATTGATTTTCTTCATCTTCAACACAGTTAATTTTGGATCCCTTAAGCATAAAAAACTGTTCATATAGACGTTTTTATGTTTCATGAAACATAAGCTTGTGTTGCTAGATACATCAACAGTATCATAAAAAGAGTTTTAGAATTCCAGGAAACGTATCCTGACCACATAAAATACTTATCAGTGCCCATAAAATCAGTCAGGACCTACGCATCACCCATTCAAACGATATCCAAATTGCAAACCGACATAAAATAAAAATGTCTCATGTTAAACAAACAAGCCGCAAGTCCCCTTCCTAAGGTATTCTTCAACGGAAAAGATCAACGATTCGGCAAACTGTTACTCGTGAAATCTACCAAACCGTCATGAATGACGGCATCGAATTGAGAGATTATAGACTAAATCTAAAAGCACGGCCAATGGAGAAGCATCCTGCTCACCGTCGACCGGGCTGTTGTAATTGACGTAGGCATAGCCCAGCGAGCGGCGGGTGCCGATGTCGCGGCACACGCGCACAGACACCACTTGCCCAATCTGGCTGAACAGATCATACAGCTGCGAGTCCGTCACGTTCACGTCGAGGTCACCGACGTAGAGCGATGAGGACGGGAACTGGTTTACCCCGGCAGCGCCACCATTGTTGGCCATCCCATTCGGTGGCTGCGGCTGCACTTGAACCTGCGCCATCCCTCAACACGATACAGTATCTCTTTTTTGCCTTTCTTTCTCTTCCCCTACGAGTCAAACAAAAATAAAAACACAGCAAACCTTCCTCTTTTCTAAGCGATTTCGATGCAAAAATTGTAAGAACAACAATGATTTTGGCAACGAATTTTTAGATTTTTTTTGTTTTGTTTGGGGATACGTCGATCGATCGGAGAACGAAGAAAAGGGCTAAGGGAAGAGAAGGAAGACGACGGATAGATTGGTAGATAGGTAGAAAGAGAGGAGATTCGGGAGGGCAGCCCCAACTGCGCTTCACTCTCTCTCGCTCGGCCCTTATCCGCGGTTATATCGCCTGGGTGGCGGACAAGACGAAACCCTAGGTCACTCACGGGTTCATCCTGGCCGTCGGATCCACTTTGTCAGTTTCAGGATCAAATGTCCGGCACCGGATCGGAGAAAGAACCCCGTTTGTCTGCCCCTCGAAGACCATGCATGCATGCTAAAGTTGGCTCGATCGAACCACACAACATTTGGTGTTTAAATTGATTCTCGATTCAGATCTCCCAATTAATTAGTCAACTTATTTTTCATCGTCGTAGTCTGCATCTATGTAACGTTAACATAATGTAACTGTCAGTACTCCAATAACTTTGAGCTTTTTTTGCCTCCTTTCTTTTAAAAGGAAACAAACAGTATTTTGATGACAAATCTAACTTCAAGTTCTCGGTTTCCTCTCCTCTCTCATTTTTCTTCTAATTACAATTTAATGGCCCATCGATGTTCCCCCTATATCTCACTCGAGCTTGCTATCGACTAATCGCTTTGATCATCACTAATCACATCATTTTCTTAATGTGTCTATTGATGGAAGAGCGAGTTTGCCAACCAATCATGTACGCGTCATAATTTTTATGGATATTTGGTGAAACTTGCTTGGTATTTCCAACCGTTGTTTTTATATTTACCCTTTGCCAAACCAAGAATATATAGGTCCCTATCAACATGTGGTTTATGATAAGTGAGCATTTATTGTGAATTAGGATGGTATTCAAGTCTGCAATGTGAAGTCTTGATGAGTACAACCCCTTATATTTATAGGATGGATTTTTTTGTTTATATTTGTACTTAAGGTTCTTATGGCATCGTTCGAGAGAAAAGGATAATACCCCTAAAACAGAAATTGAAAGAGAGAGAGAGAGAGAATGAGGAGTGTCTAAATGAAGCGACAAAAAAGAGATAGGGAGGAACTATAAAGGACATTATTAGTAGTCCAAATTGTGATCGAGTTGTAATGCTTGTTGAGTTATCTAAATATGACTAGGAAAGCTTATATATTTCTTTTTTTTCTTAAAACTATATCTTGAAAATTATTGTGCTCGCTCGAGAGCACCCCGTAAGAGATGATCAATCCTATATAAAAAATATTTAATTGAGAATCAGTGATCGTAAATTCAACTTGTGTGCGGTTCAACTTGTGAAGTTCCTTGCAGGGCATTTCTCTTGCTACATATTTTGCCATCCTCCTGTAATTTGGAAGGAACAAAAATATCCTCTAATACGAGATGTATTACACTGTAAGCTAATTACATATTAGCTTATGTAGTTAACTACATTTAATATCTTGATATCTATATTTTAAAAATTATATTAATATTTTTTAATTAAAAAATTAAATATATAGGTCAATTTATCCTAATGTTATCGATTTTACTAACAAATACATAAAAATAAAAGATAAAAAAATAATTTTAATATTTTAATTGATGGTGATAGATGACATCGATAGTGGTGGATGATAACACTGCTAAGATCATGAGTGACTTTTGTGGATGAGGAGAGTGACGACGAGAGGTAAGAGTCGCTCTACATCTACATTGGCAACGAGAGGTCTGCATTTGCATCGACACCAATGCAGATGTAAATGGGCCCTCACCTCTCGTCGTCGCTCTCCTTATCCACAATAGTCACCCACGACCCCAACAGTACCGTCGTCCGCCACCATCGACACTATCTGCCCCACCAATTGAAAAATTAAAATTATATTTTTTGCTCTTTGTTTTTATATTTTCGTTGGTAAAACCAATGAAGATATGATAAATAGACATAGATGTTTCAATTTTGTAATTATAGGAATGTCAATGTAACTTTTTGTAATTATAGGAATGTTAATGTAACTTTTTAAAATACAATGATCGAAATACTAAAGATAACTAACTATAGTAGGTAATTTGTCATTATCTCTCGCATTGGCGATGACCCCGACTATAACATGCAGCGAGACATCTGCGATATGACTGTGTTTCATCACCAACTTTCACGACCCAACTAACAGCCTCATTAGCTAAGTAACTTGGTATACCAGACCTTAAACCACATGAAGCAAATACTAGACCTTAAACCACACGAAGCAAAAACCAACACATAAGTAACTTTAGAAAGCCGATCAATCTTGATGTATCAACCAAAATTACCATCCACTTCTGGCACAAGACTAATCATCATACACATAAGATGTGCATAAGCCAACTCTACTATTTCCACTGTCCTTAAATTTTCCTCTGAACAGAAGTCAGAATGTCTTCCATGAAACACAATTCCAATTATCACCAGAATGTTCTGAATGATCGGACAATTAGTTGTAATTTCAACTGCAACCGTTGATAAAGATTTATGTTTCTTATCTCCTGCCCATAAGCAGATTCAGATAGAGCACAGTTTGGTTCCAATTTATCTTCATTTCTATTTGTTGTTTCTCTTTAATTTAGATTATGAAAATGTACTTTAACCAGACACTACAAATCCCTACAGGCAAAAATAAAGTCGTACTTGTTTACATTATCAGCAAGAATCTAGAAATTTCATATTTCAGATATAGTTTTAGACAAAGTGCACAATACACAACGCAGAAGAACTTACAACACTCCAGCATTCTTATTCAAGTTTATTATCTCTATCATAGACTCATGATAACAGAAAATATCCATGTGAAGTTCCTTCTCAACAAGTAGCAGAAAACAGACATACATAAGGACTCAAAATAACTTGATCTGTGCATTTAGTTATATGCTGAGATTTCCAATTGAAATAGAATCAGTCCTTTGTGCCAAACATTTAAAAAAAAACTTATTGTTTATTTCATGATGGAAAAACGAAGTTTATTCTCATCCTATACAAGGCATCACAAGACTTCTTCTCTAGTTAGGATTAACAGCTAATACAGTTGAAAGTTTGATCTTTTCTGATGGCAAGACTGGAGATCAAAATAATAATATCTTGCTGACGTTGAACTTCAAAGAAGGTAGGCAGCAGTAAGGCTCTTGGGGAATAGCTTTAACTTGGGACAGGCTCAGCTACTCTAACTGTAAAATCTCAACTGATAGTGCACTTCAACAGTTAATAGTTGGACTGAAAATTTCTCAGTCATGCAAGAGGAGTGAAGTTAATTAAATAAGTGTTGTTCAGTTTGCAGGTCTAATGGAGAAGCAATTCAATAAAATGAAAAATATTCTTCAAGAGCTAGCACTGACATGGGCAATTGGGGATTAAAGAAAGAGAAATCGGAAAAGATAATGCTTCAATGCTGTAATGGATAACAGACGTATATGAAGCATACATCGTCCATATAGTTGAAGTTGGGTCTGGAAGAAATAATGTTATGGAATGCAGTCTGAGGCCATGTATGCATATATGGTCATATGCTTGCATCTCATATGGCTTTTCTGTGGCCACAATATCTGTCAATTACATTTCAGAGGCATTTACATGTGGTTGCATATAATACACAACTATGTGACTGCCTTCGCAGTCCATTTAATTGTATGTGATTGTTATATGCGGTCTATGTTTCTCCCTGTGCTATTATGTCTAATAGTACAAAATATTTAACAGTATAAGACATTGTAGATGGAGTATTTGAATAATCTGTAGCTTTAACTTTGTGCAGCAACATATCACTAAACAGCTTTCCGGGTGTCCTTTGATTGAATTATATATTAGTCAAATATTGTAATATCTACACATAGCCATTTGCATATGCATTCACAGAATGCATGTGTGCTATGCAGTGACTTGACCACCTGTATCCAATGGCTTTCTTTAGAACATGGTGACAAAAATGCACAAATTGACGAGTTGCAACACCACCAATGTTTGTCCCATGTCTCATTGAAAAATGTGGAGGATATGTGTTGGGTCATCAGTAACCAACATAAAACTTATAATCTCATAGGCATGGATCTTAACTGTTTACATTATAGGGGCAGGGCTGGCTAAGTCATCATCAAAAGTGACATGTGACATCTTCGTTACCTACATGCTCTCGAGTGCAAAGGATGGACTAGGAGACCACTCGGGAGTGACCCCTCATATCAAAATTTGGATGGTGGAAAATAGAAAAGAGTTCTCACATTGTTCTAGAGTAGTGAGTATAATCTAAAATCATAGGAAAAGGCTAACAATTTGGAAAACGAGAACACTTTTAAGGAAAAGTCTAGTGATGATTGATGCAATGATTTCAACAAAGATTAACATAATTTGTTTATAGCAAACTAAGTGGTAGGGAAAAACGTCAGGAGAATGATAGTCCTAGATATAAAACTTGGTATGTTGAAAATTTTAAACATAAAATATTGTCAATATTATTATAAACAATAATATTAAGGATAGTGGATTAGAGACAAAAAGATGGGTACAGAATTACAAATTTAAAATTTGTACAAGGAGAAGTGATATTAAATGTTATATGTTCTTATGTCTCTCAAATAGGCTAGGTGATCAAACACAAAAAGATGTCCTAGAAAAAATTGATAGAATGACTAAAGAAATGCCTCCACTTGAAAAATGCTAGTCATGCTTGATGGATCAGAATGTTGATTGGTTGAGAAACAAAATATGCAAAAGTCAATATAGTTTAAATAAGAATATTGAGGATGATGCATGAAAGTTACTAGAAAAGATATTTTAAGTAATTTTTAATTGAAACAAATTAGGTGTCTCCTCAATAAAGAATAAAATGAGAAATTTTCATTTAAGATGATATGAACATATTTGAAGGAGACCTATATGTGCAATGTTAATGAAATGTGAATCAATTAGGAATAGTGGGTGTAAGGAGGGGCAAAACGATACCTAAGAAAACTTTACTAAATTCGATAAAAGATATTTGAATCATATTTTTCATTTCAGATTGGTAAGATTGGTACTGTATTAGTATTACAACATTATTATTTTAATTTTTTTGGAGTGATACCAGGAAAAAATCCATATAGGCGACAAAATATTTTGGACTTTACAAGTTGTTGGGAACTAAGTTGAATGATTTGATTAAATGGTAGATAAAGTAATGGAAAAAAATGTTATTTAGGTATGACAAATGATTAAAAGACCAACGTTTGGTGAGACGCTCAGTTACTTGTTGACAAAGAAAAACAAGCCTCTTGTGTATTTGACAAATCCAAAGTTCCAAAGAATATAATAAATGGTCATTGGCATTTACATCTTGCAGTAAATAATCAAACAATGGTTTTATGGAAGAGATAAAAAAATTCTGATTTCAAAGGAGAATGATCAAATTCTGTGGACTAATAATAAAGATTTCTCCATCAAGGATGCTTGGAACAAATACAAGTTTGGAAGTTGCTGACTAGAAGAAACTAGTTCAATTAAATCAAAATTAGAAATGACCAATTTTTGGTGCTGAAGAAACTTTATCAATTGCAGATGATGGTTCAAGCTTGATTCAACCTGATTAGTTTACACATGTATCAGGGATTTAGCTTTTTTCTTTGGAGGGTTTTACCATTTTTGGTTATGGGAGTTTATTGTGACATTGTTCTAATATGCTATACGAAGTACTTTGGTAGTTGGTTACCATCACTCTAGTGACAGGTTGAACTTTTGTTGTGAGTCTTGAGCACTGGTCGAGAGATGAACTAATATATATATCATTGTACTTCTTCTGTTTCTTAACAAAATTTCAATCACAGATCCCAGGAAAAATAGCAAAAAAAAAATATTTTAATGCATGAACAATTAAGCATAGCTATAATAGAGGATAAAATGAGTAAAATCACCTTAAGATAGTATGATTGCGTTTTGAGAATATCTGTATATATTTGAGTTAGACGATGTGATGGTCATGAGACAGTATTAGTGGCATGAAGAGAGATTCTAAGAAGACTTTACTATCAACTACAAAAAGAGATTTGCATGCTCTTGATTCAACTAATTTATATTGCCTTCTAAAAACTCAATGACAAAAAAGTTTCATGTACCCGAACTCTAATAGCTGGGACGTTGTCTTGTTGTTGTGTTCATTGTTCCAATATTCTGCTGATAGAAAACATATTACGTATTCTGAACAATGTATCTTAGCTACTTGTTTAACTTTCAACTGCATTAAATTTTGAGAAAGTTTTTCAGTAGAAAGATGTACACCATGTTCAAAAAAAGTCAATTTCCTAATAGCAAAATCACTGCATTAACATTATGGTTTCCTAAAAAATAATACAGTTCTTTCTTCTTTATTATCACTAGAAGCAACAATATTTGTTCACATTTGAAAAAAAAATCAAGAAGCACCAAAATTAAAAACCATAAGATTAAAAAGAATTTAGCAGAGTTAAGACCAGTTACCATAATCCACACCTTCCCTCTTCATCAACAGTCCAATAACTGTCCTAATTGTAATTTATGGAATGCCAATTTGTCCCGAATCTCGGGCTGCCCTCGCTCTCACTGCCAACATGCTCCGCAATGTTGAAGCTTTCATCTCACAGTAAAAGTCCTCCAATCCCAAATCTTCCCCATAGTGTTCTAAACCCATATGGTTCTCATTGCTTACATCAGATAGGGCAGAGTAGTCCTCCCTCATCAGCAACACATTGTGAAGAATAGCACAAGTGCCAATGCATGCCACAGCCACCTTAAAATTCTCCTCTTCTCCTAAAGAACTAAGCACGCCCCAATTCCTCATGCTGCAAACCACCCGAAGCACAGGCCGGCACATTGACTGGTGAACGGCATTGAAGTCTTCTTCGCAGGAGCCACGAACTGGATCAGTAAACGGGACCATCAACCAAGGCAACAGAGGGTAGCGGCCATCCCCAACCAAGTACTGTGTTGCTCCCAGCAATTGCCCCTCCTGCACATCCTTATAAAGCGATGAGCACTTGAGAACGCTGGAATCTGTGCGATCCCCTCGAAATCCAGCAGCAATGTGTATGATCCTCGATGAGGAATCGGCCACGATCTGTGCAGCGACGACAGACTGGCCCCGTGCCTCGAAGCGAGTGCAGGCCATGGCACCGCAGCAGTCGGGAAGGCCATGGCCGACTGCCTGGAATCCGGCGGAAACCGTTGTAAGGTCAGATGGAGAGGGAAACGTGAGCCAGAAACGGAAATTGGTGCAGAGCACGCGGCAGAGATGCTTGGAGCAGAAGCGAGCGGCTGACTCGGGCACCCCGAAGCGGTAGGCGAGGTCAGGGTAGGAAGCACCGGAGGCAAGGCGAGAGAGAGCGATGGCGAGGCGGGTGGGGCCCGAAAGGCGGAGGGCAGAGCCAGCGGGGTCGCGGCAGTCGAGAAGGGGATCGAGGAGACCGGAGAGCCACTCGAAGGTGGTGGACGTCATGCGGAAGCATAGCCGGAAGTGGTCGGGGCCGCGGCGTGGGACGTGTAGATCCGGTTGGTGCTGGTGGCGCTTGCGCTTGCGCTTGTGGGGAAGGAAGTGGACGGAGGCGGCGATGTGGGAGGAGGAGGAGAGGAGGTGGAGAAGAAGGGAGAGGAGAGGGGCGAGAGGCGTGGGTGGGGAGGAGAAGAGGAATAGAGGGAGGTTGTTGCGATTGGGGACGGAGGCACAAGGGTTGGGGTGGGGGAAGGGCAGGGAAAGGAGGAGAAGCGCTTGGGACACAAGGGAGGAGACCAGAGCAGCCAGCTGCTTCGGGTCCATCACAGGCCTGCGGCTTTTGGTTCGGGTTGGGTTGGGGGAATTGGGCGTGGCTTTGAAGAGAGGGTGGGGGAGCGGAGGGTGGTGGGAATTGTTTTCATTTTTTTGCTTTTAATATTTCCTTTTGTTTTTGTTTTGTCTTAAATACTCATTTCGATCAGTCATTCGGTGAGACACAAATGCTTCCTCGTATGGAAGGAACGTAACGTCCCTATTGACGCCTATATTATTTATTTGATGACCACTGATCCGTATTAGTTGTACATTTAATTTATGCTGGCTTTTATTTATTTTCTAAACATAGAAAAAAAATATCATATGAAATGTTGTGTATGTCGTGATTGCCAGCTCGATTCGATCCAAGTGTTCAAGGTCATCAACGTGGCTTCTTGGTCCGAGAAAGTCAACGTTAGGTCGGATCGGGACACCATCTATCCGGCCAATCCAAAAATAGTCTAAAGTGGAGAGGAGGAATTCTGACTTAGATTTTTTCGAATCTTAAGTTAGTATAATAGTGATGAGGTAGATTTTAGTGTCCTGGATCTGACCCCTTGGGCTGGCCAGGGGGGTTGGCTTTTATACACATGATCGAGGGTCGATTGTACTTGGTCTGTTAATGGTCGTCAATACTCTAAGCGATAGGCTCGTACACTTAGCGTAGGTGTCGACTGATCTATATGACTTGGTATGCCACGTTGTGTTATTTTGTGCCTTCATGAGTTGCTCTGCATTGTGTGGCACCACCCTACACAGCCTTTGGTGGCGCAGGCGCAATCGATTGTCTCGTACGATCTACGTTGGCAATGCGAGTGTAATCGACTATCTCGTACGGGTTTGTACTGGCGATGTGGATGCGATCGATTGTCTCATATGGTTCCAAGGTGCCACGTCGACATGCTTGCAGGCGTCATGTCAGTCTCTGACGTGACGATCGAATACAATTGAGTTACAAGGGTGATGCTAGAATATATCATATCAATCATAAAATGATTTTAATCTTTAAATCGAGTTTGCAATCGAAAGTAATTAATAATATAAAAAATTCATTTGAGTTCATGCTCTCTAAAATTTTACTTGTGTTGTCTTAGTCCTCCAGAAATATTCTTTTAATTTGTGATTCCGAAAAAAAAAATTATTTAGATTTAATTTGTGAATGATTATTACTGGATACGGAATCCATGCTTGGAAGCATGGGCAACTACGTAATAACATATTCCCGATTGATGACTCCTTTTCACTTGGAGTTTACGAGAGCTATAGACGCCACGCTTAGAATCATTTACATTATCATTATTAACGATGTTTGCTATTCATCCTTGTAAACGTGATATTATCACCGCAAACTAATCTCTTTGGTGGTGATTATAATTTAATAATTGAAGCACTATAAAAATAATTGACAAGAATTCGAACAAAATATTCCAATCTATATATTTTTTTAATAGAAAAGCTTTCAATTAGTTAACCAGTTTATCATAATCTTGAGACGAGTGAGTCCCATCCGCCTTGCTTCCTGTGGAGCTTTGAGCACAACCCCCTCAATGTTTCAAAAGAGGCAATGACATTTGGAGTGAGTGAAAGATCAAAATGCTACATAAATCTAATGTTTATAAATATAGGCCGATTCGAGATAGGAATATTATCTTGGATTCTCCGATCCATTACTTATAAGCTTCCTAAAACCCCTTATTAACTTATAAAGAGTTAAGATAATTCTTTTTCATCATAAGAAAACTCTCGATTTATTTCTTATATTCAAAGGTTCAAGTGGTCTATACTTGATATTTAAGATCGTAACCCATAGAGATGAGGTGTGAGTCTTCCAACATAAATATATATATTTTTTAAATTATGATATCATAAATTCCAAGATCTCTTCGACATAACTTTATTATCAAACCATCATAAATATTTCGATAATAATTCAGGAAAAGAACATCTAATCGAATATACTAGATGTAGTTGATAATATAAAAAAAAGATTTTTTTTAATTTCACTTGTTTTATTTGTTGATTATACCCAAGTCCAAATAAAAAAAATGAGGCATGGTAACATAAAATTTTATCAAATTTAATGCAATGGATTTGATAAAAGAAAAAAATAAAGCAAAATAATTGGGATATCACTAATATATATGTAGCATTTTTTATCCTTTTTATTTAGCTTGCAACTCTAATGGGGGCCAAATCATATATCAAACAGTTGAAATGCATAAATAATTTAGGAGTTTCTTGAATTCTTCAGCAATGCATAATTTCAAACTTAACTATAAAAAATAATATATATTTTTTTTAAAAAAATATTACATATACAATAATTTACTAATTAATTTGAATATCTTTTAAAAAAAAGTATGATTAAACATAAATTTTTCATAATAAAAATTAAAAGTTAAGTATAATAAACATGGCGATAATCTCCGCAATTCACTTTCATCGGACGTGTCCTCCAATTATCGTTGAAATGCTTCGAGTTCCTATATTTGTTGGACATAACATTGATTTGCTATTTTCTAATTCACAAGTAAAGGCTAATAATGGTACACTTACATAGGATTCTTCACACGGTCACTAAGATCTTTCAAGTACAAGACAATTTACTCATATATGGCCAAGTCATATTTTGCACGGTAACAGACAAGAGTTATGACACAACAACACGCTTTACTAGCAGTGTACTAACATTTCATGTACTGTACAACGACCCTTATTTCACAATCAAGAACATTTAATATTCTACATAGACTTTTGGCATTCATGTATTATTGATCATTGTACTTTATATTTCTTAAAGTATTTTACCTATAACACAACACAGGTATTTCTTTGCAAGAAACAACTATCCAATATATATATATATATAATAATAATTTCAATCCACGCGCTAAATTATTTTTTTTTGTAAAAGATTCTACTAACGTATTTAAAAATAATATATTTTCTATCAATTTTTGATCGATAAATAGATAGTAAGATCAGGTGATCGAATCTCATCTTTGTCACTTACCATTCGAGAAAAATATCTATTAATGCTTTCGTCTATTGTTAAACAATTAAAATTAGTACTCTAATTAAAATAATATAAATTAATTTTTATAATAAGAACCTAACATTTATTTGTGCACACCAAACTTATTCATAAAATTTTCTTGAATTTTGGGAATTACCTAAATTATGACAATTTTGTCTTAAAAAAAATTAAATCTAAATTTTATAAAAAAATAAAATTCATTTTTAATAGAAATTTATGTGTTGTTTCTTGCTACAAACAATGCCTTTAAAATTAAAACTTAATATATTAAACCCTTTTAAATTTAGATCTAAAATTCCAAAAAATTTGTTGATATTGAAGGAAAAGGAAAGTTGTATTTATAATTTAGAGCCCCTCCTTTTTTTGAAATTTAAACTATTTCATTAAATGACGGTAGCATCCCAGGAAGAATCCGAGGACGTGAACGGCATTACCGAGGCCAACGGTGGTAATATGGTCATTTCATCCGGTCTCTCGGCTTCTCCTCCCGTCCCCGCATTCAAATTTCCTCCGCCTCCGCATTGACTCGTCGTTTTCCTCCACGTTCCCCCCTCCGCCGTATCCCCGCGTTTCGCCATCGTTAAGAGCGGGATCTCCCCGGTGGCCGGAGCCAACTCCCGGCCGCGCCGTATCCTCTCGTTCCTTTCTTCCTCTGTAGCCTTCGTGGAGCCATGGACGACGAGATGGTGGAAGCCGTTCAGGGGGTATTCGTCTGCTTCGAGGTCGATCTCGATTACGAGTTCGACGCGCCGAGGTACTTCGACTTAGGACGGGAGGAGACGCCGGCGGAGGCTTGGGCTGCGGAGCTATGGTTCGATACCGCCGGGAGCTACCCTCCCTCTCGTACGTGCCGTTTCGCCGATGCGCAAAACCCTAATAGTTTGATCCATTTTTCGATTGTTTTCGGTTTTCGGTTCGATCCTTATGTTGCTTCATCGGTTCTGGTGATTGTTGCGAATGATTCTGTTGTCATCTCTAGTCGTCTATGATGTGATGTAGTGTAACCTCATTTCTCTGTGCCCTATTTCTTGGCTTAATCTGGGAGTTTGAGGTCGTCAAGGTTTAGTTTCGGGGAATAACCTCTTCTCACAAGTTTAAGGGATGGAACATGTAGGTATTGAACAGCTGGGATTAATAAGGGGATTAATGCACGTTTGCGTTCGGATATGTCGAGACAAACATTTAGATGCGAAGGTGCCTTCTTTTCATTGAGAAGGCATATTTCTTGTTCTTATCAGTTTGGCCTTTTGTCTTTCTGTTAGTAGTCAGCTAAATAACATTATTATTCTTTGTTCATCTACTCGTGTCTATTCATTCATCTTTTAAACCAGAAAAAAAAAGAGGTAAAAAGAAGATGGTTTCCTGCACTCCAAACGAGATAGCTGGCTGATCGTATTGGATTTTGCCTATATTTGGGGGGTTTACCTACTGATCACAGGTTTTTTTTCAACTTTAGAAAATTTTAGAGATAACATAAAAGCACAAGCGCTTACAGAACATCTTGGAACAATTTTTTTTAATGCAAGTCAGAGGTTATTTGATCAGTAGATTTGCAAATAAAGTCTACTAGCTAATAGAATTCATTAAAAGCAGTCAATTGTTTAATTCTTTTGACTTTTCTCTTTCAATATGACATGGCTATGTCTTGTACTTGAATGGAAAGTTATCTAATAGACTAATACAAACAAATTATTCCAAATCTAAAACAAACTGTTAGAGGGTTTTTGTCTTTAGGAGTTGAAGATATGCTTGCAACATTTGGTGCTTTTATTGTGTTATTGTGCGACGTGACCCATCAAAAAATGATAGCACGCTGGCTGGATAACATGTGGGCTTCCTTCAAAAGAATGAGGACCATGAGTTCACTTTATTTTTCCTGAAACATTCAACTAAGATGCTCTGTTTATAGCAGAAAGCAAGCGAAAGTAATTTTTGGACAAAGTGCAGGATCGGTGGTTCTCTCTTAATTAAGATAAAGTAGTTTGAAGACTGTCCATTTGTTACTGAGTTTGGAGCAATATTCAGTTGATGCTTGTTCTGAGCTTTATACACTGCTTATGCTCTCTTGGATTCTTGATATTCATAGCAGAGTTTGCCTTTGTCAAAGACTGCAAATTATTTTTCAATACAAAATCCATCCTGTAATTGTTTCCATGATATTATACTCCCTTTCTATTCTAATTGGCTCTTGTAAAGTTATATATTTGATTTATTTGTTCTTCATCTTTCTCAGCTCTGATAGTGAAGTTATTTTTGGGAAAAGATATACACATAGCAGCTACAAGTACCAATTCAGATCATAAAGATTTGGATTATAAAAATCCGGATGGTTCTCATGCAGATTCTGCTGCGCCTGAATTTATGGTTAATGACATTGATAGAGGTATTCTGTCGGTGAATGCTATCAGCTAGTGATATATTAGTTGCTCTAATTTTTCTTTCTTTTAATGCTAGTACTTTTTGATAATTTATAGTACTTAGTTACTTTCCAGTTTAAACAGGACTTTGAGATTTTCAAAGGAATTATAGTAGAGGAATATAGATGGAAACTTTCTTTCTAATCGTGCAATAGGAAATGGATACAAGTAGATAAGTACACACCTGAATACTAGTTAAAGAACACGAGTAAAAGTGAAGAGATTGAAATCGTGAAGAAGCATAACATTTGGTCTTATGATAATTACATGGGTATTTCCAACTCATAGGAATAGAAGATATCAGTTTTTTGGGTTCATTTGATCATTTCTACTTTTCAATTTAAGTAGTTAACACAACAGATTCATGCTTCCATTGCTTTTGAAATTTTACTGGGTCCCAATGTGCTTAATAAAATGTTTTGTGTTTGTTGCTTAGGACATACATTCCACAATTCTATGCTGCAAGGTGTATCAAAACTTGACCATAAATCTACTTTTAAGAATCCTTTCTCAAAAAGATCAACTTTGATGAAGCCTACTGCAAGTCAATTGGCCAAACAAAACCGAGCACGTGAAGTGACGTCAGTCAGCAGGTATGCCTTTATATTGATGTTTACATTTCAACTTCATAACATTTCTTCATCCATCATGGGCAAAAAAATGACAATTTTTGTTTGGAAACATTATCATGTTCGGAGTGACCATTAATTTCACTTTAATATACCGTTAGTTAGAAGATTTGCCTTTGTACAAGATTCAATCCAGTTTCTACATTTTGTGTACTAGACCTGTGTCAGGTACCGGACCCATGTCAGTCCCATGGCTGGACCAGTATATGTCCGGTTTGTTTTGGCATTCCAACACAGTATGTCTGAACATGCTGTGGTATAAAGATGAGAGGAGGAGGAAGAGGAGGGAAGGAGGTGGCAGAGAGGAGAAGAAGAGTACTGATTCTACTAGAATCAGGTGTGCAGCATGACAGCAGGCGCTGCATGATAGCGTGCGGTGGGTTGCGCAAGAGAGAGGCACAGGGAGAGGGTTTATTGGGTCTAAAAAAAGATAAAAAAGAACCATGACAAGCCTATTTTGCATGCGGACTCTTTGAAATTAGGCGTGTTTCAGTCCACAGCGACCAGTATGTACAGGGTAGTATGTATTAGACCGCCCAATCCATTGGTCCTTCATTCACTCTTTTGCTTTCTTTCACTCTCAGTATCATTTTTTAATCTCAAATATTACTAGCTATGTTCTGATTCTTTATGGCAGAAGGTATTGTAATAACCCTTGTTCTCGACTGTAATGTTTTCAAGATTTTTTGTTTTTTTTGGTGAAAGTTGAGTTTTATCTTCTATTTCTTTCATTCTCAGGTTGCAGAAACAGTTACAAGTTAAAAAAGAAAAAAGATCTGAAGATTCAAATAATTATACTCTTCAAGCTACCAAAAGGCAGAGATTGGAGAAAGGACATTGCTGCAAGGTGCTTTGTAATTTTCTTTTATAAGCAACAAAATCATCGTTGACATGCTTTTAGGTAAAATTAGTAACATGACGTCATATCATGAACTAAGAATGAGGTAGACTTGCACTAACTTTTGGAGTCTACTTTTACATAGTTTCTGTTGGACTTAACAATGAAAGCCTGAAAAGTGGGTCGATTATGTTGGCCTTTATTTCCTGCACCCAAATGGAGCTGGATAGTCCTTCAGAAACTGTGCATCCTTGGCACATCAATATTGGAATCTTAATTTTTCTATCTGAAATTTAATGAATATTATGGTGTATTAGATGCATCTAGGTAGACATGTTACAGTAAGAAAGTGGGCATCTCACTGGTTTTCTTGTTGCAAGTGCCCTTTGAGTTGTTCTCACTTCAGTCGCAAGAATCAGAGTCGTTTCCTATGACAACTGAATCTGGCAGAAGATCTCCTATCTAAACCTTTTTAAAATAGCATTCACACTAGTGCACAACAAATTTTAAGTTTCAAAGGTGCAAAACCCCAGTATTTCATAGTTGCATTGAGCTTACTTAAACAAAGATGACAACTTAGATCAGTTTAAAAGGGTAAACCCATTGATGTGGACTAAATGATACCACTATCTTTGCATGTTAACCTGTCAATAGGAATGTAATAATACAATCTTTACCCTTAAGAAATCCTATGGTCATCTTCCGCATCAGATGAAAAATGTGCTGACAGGAATCTCTTATCAATTACAAAGTCGAAAGAGCTGCTGTTTTTTTGTGCTTCTGAATCTAATTGTTGACATATCCAGAAATCCAACCCTCTTTAGTCCAAGAGCAGATAGAAAAGACATCCACATTTAAGATGAACTGAATGTGTGCATCTTGGTGCATGTGATCATATCAGTCAAAACAAAAGGAGTTATGCAAATGAACTATTTTTGTGCTGGTTCAGTTTATAATCCATTGTTGGCAACATTGTTTTCACTACTTTATTGTAAATGGTGCCTACCATGCTGGGATCCATCAGACTTTTGTTGAGGTGCATTGTGTAGGATGGATAGCATAAGGAATGATCATTATATTGTTTTATATCCTACTGGCACCTGTAATGATAAGAAAACTAGAAGGCACTGTTTTAATTGCTTAAAGTGAAAAGAACAGGCTAAAATTATAATTAATATTGGAGACACACCATCTGTAAATTCCATATGACACAGAGACTTTCCTCCTTTTGCCGCTCATTTCATTTTTTGTTTAATATTTTCCCCTCCATCTCCTATATTTTTCTTCAACGTACGTTATTTTTGTACTTCTCTATTTCTCTTATGTATGCTTAAATATATTCAAGAAAAATGACAATGAAAGCAATTCTTCAGAATATCTTTTACCTAAACCTCTTCAAGTCCTATATTATTAATGTTTGAAGCAGGTGGTTATGGCAAATGCTGGAATGGTTTAGTTTCTTTATTCATAGGATGAGTAATTATATGTCCTTGTCCTATGCTTTCTCTTTATGATCTTGTACTTTAAGTAATTCTAATACTTTATACGTGTGTGGTGTTATAAAGTCCGGGAATTTAAATATAAATCAAATTTAATAATTTAATGGAAATAGCAACTAGTGAAGGATAAAATTGTCCACTGTTTTGGACAGACAATCTAGTGCATTTGGTGATTGGTCTAGTTGGTTGGTCATTAGCATCTTCAATTTAAAAATAGGAAGCTTCCAGTTTCAGGAAGTTTAGGGCCTTTAAACGCCGCCCTCTTATGAAGTGGTAGTCATAGTTGTTTTAATATTCAAAAGTTTCTTAGGAAAAATGATAGTAAAACTTAATTATTTTAGAATATTAGTTACACTCTATAACTTTTGTCAGTTTTTCCAAAAACTCGGAAGAGCATCCTTCTTCTGAGTCGTGGTTGGTTGACATCTAGTCATTTGTACTTGAGATGGTTCTTGAATTAGTTTATATAAAGATGTTTGGGTAGGAAAGTTTTTGGACCTAATGTACTTTTACAACTACCTTAAATAGGATAATTTCATTTGTTTCAACATTACTTTTTCCTTTGTCTAAGCTGAGCTTGTTTTTCTTATTTTCTGTCTAATCACTCTGAAAAATTTTCCAGTAACTTTCATCATCATATCACTTTTCCTACCCTGCAACTCACTATATGATGCTCCCTCAGCTTAAGGTGTAATCTCATGTATTGTTGAACCGCTTGGAATTGTTCTTCACTTTGTTGCATGTCTCTGTGTAGTTCCTTTTGTTGAATTAATGAAATGTGATTGTAAATGTAATATGTCAGAGTTACGTGGTAAGCTTCATGTTCATTGCAGGGAAATGGTGTCAAGCAGCAAATCGACTTGTTTCACAAAGTCCCAGGAAAGGTAATTCTTTTGCTGAAAAAGCATGATATGGTCTTTAAGTAAATGATGATTTCTAGTTCCTTCTTAAAGACCTTTTTAAATAGTTGACTTGCATCTTTTTTTTTTGAAATTCTTATGGTTCTTTTAATGTGGCAAAAACATGCTTTTTGGATAATGATTCTCCTTGCCTAAAAAATTCTAGCATTCAATGATATGTTTTTGAAGAACAACTAGCTATAAAATACCTGATTATTTAACAATTCCCTACTTAAGATGTACTTGATATTTACTTATCAATGACGATATCCAGCAAAATGGACTTGCTGATGCCAATAACCAGCTTCATAGACTGAAGCTTACGATACCAAGGGAACCTGAGTTAGAAACTGCAAGAAGGGCACTTAGTTCAAGAGTTCAACAACAAAGGTGATTTACTTTAAATGCATTTCATTCTATTTAATGCATAACTATCTACTAAACTGCTCATTAAATCAGGTTGGATGATGCTAAATGTCTTGTCGAAGGAATGGCACAGACTACTTCCACATTCAAAGCACGTCCTCTAAATAGAAAAGTGAGTATCCTTTGATCATTAAATAGTAGGTACATGAAACAGTTAGTCATGGACTCTGTATTAGTTGTTTGCAGATTCTTGAGGCTCCATCTCTGCCCCTTCCTCAAAAGAGCACCCCTAGATTGCCCAAATTTAAAGTAGGTGCTTGAAACTCTCATTTCTTCAAACTGATTATATCTTTCATAAGTTTTGCAGGCTATTTAGCAATTGAGAATTTAATTTCTAAATTTAATTGTTTTTTTCTTTCTCCAATTGGTTTTAGGAATTCAATTTTAGAACTCATGACAGGGCTCTACTACACAGCACAACTTCATCATCATTGGTAGGTTCCATAAATCAGATTTTGCTTCTCTTACGATAACTATACCCTATATATATGCTGCAAAAATGTCAAACAAGTTTGATTAGTTTTTTGCAATCAAAGCTTTGGATATGATGATAAACTTTACTCAATTTTAAGAACATATGATATTATGCTAATCTCAAAGAGTGCTATATGCGCAAATACTGCAGATTTCAAGCAGTCATATTCCTGCTGCTAGGAAAAGTTCAGTACGGATACGATATCAGAGTTCTGGTCACCAGCAACTGCATATGTAAGTATTTCAGACTAACTTCCAAAGGTTCTTCTCTTTCCCATTCCTCCAATAAATTCTGATATTTAAGTCTTTTATTGTTGCAGATAATGCCATAGTTTAGTGTAGGCATAGATAGCATAATGAGTAAATGATTAGCTAGTTCAGTGACATTATTAGCCAAAGACCTTGATGTCGCTTGTCGCATTTATGCAAGCCAATATCTGGCTTGTGATATCATATTAGTATATTGGGCAGATATTGCTGGCATGTATTGGCACACACCACAATCCATGATCATGAATTTGACATTCTGGCAATTTAGCTACACTGAAGGCAAGTTGGTCAACAACATATACGACAGTATGTAGAAGAACGTACATGCATGCATATATACACTATGTTAATCAACTATTTCCATGAACATAATGTTCTCATATGCATTTAAAATTTACTGTTTTCAGTATATTAGTATCTTTTTCGTCAAGTAGGTGTTCTTTGCTGAATGTTTCAAAGTGTGCTTTAGTTCAACATGATCTATTGGATGTTATTATGGATTTTATAAAAATAACTAATTTGAAATCGAATTAAGATATCATAGATTCAGGAAAAGAGATAAAAATACAATCAAATAAAAAATATATTTGCTCAATTTTATCACTCAGAGGTTAAAATCTTCATGGACAGGGCTCTACTAGGGATCAGCTGAATTAACTTCTCTTGGCTGACCCCAAGACATCCTAGGCTGGTAAACGCTAGGAACTCAGCTGTTTTGGATGTAGGTCGATTTATGGACTAGCCAATTCTAAAGTGTTACTTTGATGCAAACATCATGAGTTGGCTATTCTTATATAATTTTCCAGTCATGAGGGTCTGCATGCTGATTATTAGGTTGATGATGTTCATTTATGGATGTATTATCAGAGAATCAAACATATATATGCCAAAGGCATTTACTGCCACAATTGTATGAGTGAAAATGAACTGGAAGCAGAAGCAGTTGAAAGCCTGTCATTGTGATCATAATACAAAAAAGCATGAAGAAAAGACATCGAATTCAGATCAACTTTCAAAAGCTTGTGCTACTATCTAATTTGTCATGCTTTAAATGGGTTGTCATGTACTAGCGCTATTGCACCTTTAAATGGGTTGTCGCAATCAACTTAGATTGTGATTGTCCATATCAATTGAATTTATGAACATAATGCATGTCTATTAGTTGAAATCTATATAATGTTTGTCTTGAAGGGATTAGCGATGAAGAAATATGTTTAATTTATGTGGTAGCGATGCAAAACATACCTTGAGAAGGCATCAATGAAGTATGAGAAAGTCATATAATCAAGATTGTCTCATATTGAATCACACTATCTTTAGAGTTGCAGTCAGAAGTTAATTACAGCATCATAATGAACTCGTTCTTTGGTTTGGTAAATTAGGTCTTTTAAAAATTACAGCAAATTTTTAATTGAATAGCTGAAAGAGTTGACTTTGCAGAATTTTGTATGGTTCTCATGGGCAAGCTTCGAAATTCTCATTTTGTTAATTATTATTTTCCTTTTATTTTCTGAGAAACGTGGTATTTGAAATCATGATGCTTACATTTATGTTATTCTCAGCTTGGTCTTTAGGTTTGAATAACCATACTACAAAGTCAAAAACTTAAATTGAGATATCTAACACGACTTTATTGAGTAAGTATTAGGTTTTAATGGGAAATTGTCATCTGAGTGGCCAAGGTCTGATGCAGATATGCCATAGACATGCATACAGATTTTGATTCTCGGTGAAACTAGAGCTTCACAGTCATGTATTTTCATGTTATACTTTCAGGTTTGACATTTAGATAACATAGGATATGATGCATGTAGTTCTTTGCATTGGCTGGCTAGAACAAATTATTTGATCCATTTATGGAGTGTTGCGATAGGCTCGAACCTTCATTTTTTTAGCGTTCAGATTATTTGATCCACGGCTTTATATTTCAATAATCCTTATTGTTTATTTTGTGGATGCTAGTGGGGATAAGCGGACTGCTGAAAGTAAAGACATGCCAGCAGAACTCAGAGCTCAAACATTAAATCAAAAGGTACTTAGTAAATGCTCTTTGAATTTTCCAACTATACAATAAAGGGTTAGAAGCTTAATCTGACCTCTATGCTTTTGCCCATCAATTGTTTTCTATCCACAAGGTAATAAGAATCTTTGGAGATCCAACTCTCATGCAACCTTCGTGCTTACATAATCTTGAAAACCCATTACATTCTTCAACAAGCATCTTTAATTTTCATGTCTTTTAGCAGATTTTTGAAAGAAATGGAGATGAGGTTTTTCAAACCACCAAGTGGGAAATAACAGTACCCAAGGTTTGAGTATATTGTTTTTAAATCCTTAAGAGGATAATTTTATTTCATGTTTTGAATTTGAATTTGTTATACTTCTTTATGTAGGAATTCAACTTTTCAACAACAGAAAAGCTTCAGCAGACTCCACTAACTGAACATTTTAACAAGGTAGATTCATGCAACTGAAAACAAGTTTATGCTGTCATAATTATATGCTTTTTTCAAAGTATCTTGATGAATTTGAGGCTGTACACGTAGCTTGAAATATTTTGTTATAGCCAACTGATAACTTTGTGTTGTCTGCCTCTCTCTTGACTGTTTACTCTTATTCTGTAGCTCTCCTTGACTTCCGAAGCACAAAAACCTACTGCTCTGCCAGAGTTCCCGAGGCCAAGTCATCTAGATACTAAGGTCTTCTTGTCTTAATCTATTTAAGCTAATACTTTTTTTCCCTTCAGTTGTGTTTTATTTTCATAAATATGCATTGAAGTTTATTTACTAGTTTTTACAAAATTTTGGCAAGGACTCGAAAGAAAACTTGATCAATGGTGTACAGAAATAGCAATGGTATGATATTATTGGATAAAGATATTCACTTTATTTTATTTCCATGATGTACCTTGGTTTGGAGTATCCGCTTGATTTTGAATTTTGAAATTATATGATTTATGCTGTTATTTTTTTGTTGCAGAGGAAATATGTAATCAGTGGAGAAACTTAAGAGCCTGGAGAAGCATATTTGTCATCACATTGAAGTAATGCATCGATCCCTTTGGTAACCATCTATCGTCCTCATACCACTTACGTGCCCATTAAATAAGATTAAAACCTGAATGATAAATGCTAGCAACTAGAACATGTCACTGTGCATATATTTTTCCTTGTGCTCATTATATGTGACATTGAGTGTTTCACTTGTGTTTTTAGATTTATTGCACTTGCTTTTATGCACCACTGATTTTGTGTGTGTGTGTTTTGAGCTATAAACGGATATAAGTTGTTCATACTTGGAAATGTTGGATGAAGTGATGGTGTGTAGTCTCTCTGTTATGTCCTAATTAATCTTCAAGAACAGTATCGTTCAGCTACGTTGTCAGAATAGAACATACTTGGTCATAAACTTATCTTTCTAATTCTTTGCTTTAGCAGGAGCCGCGGCATTTTTGGTAATAGGACAAGGGGATAGCTGAATTTGTACAGGTTTTATTTGATTTTTTTCAAGAGTTTGGAGTACTGCATTTGAAGATGGACTTACACATCCACTCCCGGTATAAAGAAATCGGGAGTTGACTCAGCAAACATATGGCTTTGCTGTTCTGCCATATAGTTTTGGTTAGGCAGTCTCTTCAGCTCTTCTCTTTACTGAACCATACCATGCAAAGAAGTTAGAGTTTACATAATTCTCAAACAGCTCAGGAAGCACAGAATTAGAGAAGCGCAATTAGATGGTGTCGTCGACCAGAGGAAAAACAGGTCAGAACTGTACAAAAAGCTGCTGTAATGGTTTCCTTCTTTTTATTTTTTTTTGACATTCATGTGTCATACCAAAAGCTTCGAGCTGAGATGTTTAATGTTGAGAGCTTCCTTTCTTCGTATAAATTGAGCAGTTTCCTCTCTCTCTCTCTCATTGTTTGTGCACATATGTAAGTATTTTTTGTGCCATCCCGGTTTTATTTTGCTCATATATCAAACTAGACTTTGTTGACGTTCTAAAAACAAGTGACAAGCCCTAGATTTTGACTATTGAATGCCATCATTCACGATGTTATTATTTTATGATTTTAGTGGTAAAACTGTGTACGTTCTCTTTCCAGATCTCGCACTGACGGTTGCCTAAGTATTACTCGACGGATCATCATATGATAAGATACATGATTCATCTACAGAATATTTAAATCCAAAGTTACAATTATCGACCTGTACAAAGACCATTTTAAGTCAAATCCATTTATGAAGTGGGACAAGAAGTTAAGCTTTGGCCTTCAAGATGACTTGGAAGAAAACAACGAAGTAGTTCGAATCACTAAAAGATCCTCTCACGATCTTCATCCAAGTTTGTATCCCCAAAAGATTCTCGCAAATCTGACTTTCGGAATCCACAGATGCAGTCAGATAGGGGCCACATCTGTGAGCTCACGTACGTATATAATAAGATCTAGTGGTGGTTGTGCAGAAAATACAGAGTTGTTCATGGAAGATATAGTGGAAGGTATTACGTATACAATAGATCTAGTGGTGGTTGTGCAGAAAATACAGAGTTGTTCGTCGAAGATATAGTGGAAGGTATAGATAGGGGCATAATATCTTTGTCATAATGACGTGGCTTCCCATGTAAATCTGACTCTCGGAATCCACTATTGCGGTCAGACAGGGCCACATCTGTGATCTAACGTATATAATAGATCTAGTGACAGTTGTGCAGAAAAGACAGTTGTTTGTGGAAGATATAGGGGCATAATAATATTCCATGACAAATATCACAATGATTGCATAACAAAACAATTGTTTATTAAAATAGTGCTACACAAGAATGCAAATAGTATGAATGATCACTTTTAAAAACCTAATACAAATATTAGGATACAGATCTGAAGAAGAATGCCTAGAGACAAAAATCTGATATCAATAGAAGCCAACAAGAGCATATAATATAAACTCCTTCAGTGTTTGAAGATATTGCTATTCTCCATTGGGTGAGAATAATAAAGAAGAAAATATAATAGCTTATCTATATAATAAATACCCTGACAGTAGTCCTCTTTCTCATGATGGTAGCACAGAGAATATTTGTTTCAGATCAGCTTTCTTTAAGTTTAGCTTAAGAGAGTTCTTTTCTACTTTACCAGAAGCAGAAAAAATTATAGAGCTTTTATAAAATCCTCTCATTCATACAACAAACTCCATACTGTTTAAGCATAACTATGTGATGAAGTGCATGATTTTGTTATCATCAAGAAAATGGAAGGCGATACGATTGTATACACAGCCTTTGCCATGAAAAAATTGGTACAGGTATAATAAATTACAAATTTAAGAGTATCTATTGAAAAAGGCAATTCTCTGAACATGGACATCAAGAATGTCTAGCTTATATAACATGCCACGATGATAAAGAACTGATCAAGAAATAAAGATAGTAACTTAATTAAGTTAGATGTGTAACAAATGGCACAGTTAAAGTTGTCGGGAAGAATTAGACAAATAATGAATAAATACGACAACTATTATAGTACTCCGTGGTAATAACATGAGCCTTACAGAGGATTGTGAATTGCTAACAAACAAAAAATTAAAGCAGCAAAGAAACAAAACTAGTGTTCCCCTTTATTACCCTTTCATCAACACCAACAATATTTGAACTTCAAAATCAGCACATTGACGCCCAAAGCCAATTCTTCAAGGATGTTTCTCAATGACTAAATAAACAGTGCCCTAGAAAAAGTACTTGAAAATTTGATTTGCTTAGCAGCCCATTCAAAGATATGGACACACTATTTGGCATTCACCAATGGATGAACTATAGTTTAGTCCATCACTAGATGTGTGCAATGTAAAAGGAGGGAACAGAATCGATGTAACACAAAGTAAAAGTTAATCTATTCAAAGGGAGACTGTTCTCATCGATTAAACTTTCTTAAAAGGTCCATGGTTCAGCAATGTGGATGCAGTTGATTATAATAATATAAAAAGAACCACTAGGAAAAGTTAGTCACAAAGAAAATTTGCTGTGAAAAAATGGAAACATAGATGAAGACAGCCATAGACCAGTGCACCATGCCACGTATTCACATAATATGGTTGAATAGCCCTTTCATAAAAAAAATGAGTTAATTATATATTACCCCTTATATTTGGACCCTATTAGGGTCGCAGTTCTTCTATTTAAAAAATTTATATTGGGATATCTATAGTTCTGAAAGTGAAACAAATAACCTCATTTGTTCTAACATCATCAGCTGCATTGATAGAAAACACATGTGACATCATGTGCTGGATCGACATGAAAATGATAGGCAAAAAGATAATTTTAATATCTCTTTCGTTTTTAACTATATGTTGAAATTACCTTTATGTTAGTAAAATTATTGAAAACAAAAAAAATATTAAAATTATTTTTTTGCCTATCACTTTCGTGTCGATCCAACATACCATTAATGCAGCTGACGACGTTTGGACAAATGAAGTTATTTGTTTTATTTTCAGAATTACAAGGATCCCAATATAAATTTTATAAGTACAGAAACCACGATGCTCATAAAATCCAAGTATAGAAGGTAATATGTAATTAGCCCATAAAAACTTAAAAGAATCTATATCCATATTTTTCTATAATATGTACATAGCCAAGTATTACATGCCAAAGTAGCTTACTCAAACAATCCTTTTCGCAATAGATATGTATACTAGTAAAAAAAATTAATGCTTACATAATTCTCTATGTTATAGAAAATTCCTTTAACAAAATTGCAACATTATGGAACTTTGATATGAGATCACTGCCAAGATTGCCAAACTTAAATGGTTAAGATCTATAATATATGAAAATTTTAACTTCTCCAATAACTTGTGGCTATTACTACCAAAGATGAAAATTGCCTTTTTAGGTGATATTGCATGTGGCAAAGAAGGGCACATAACAAATGTCTCTATAGTATTAAAGTTACAGTTGCTGTGCCAAACAAAATTAACATAACAGAAAATTTTCAACAGATGGACATTTGCGCCATGCATCTTTCTAAGGTAATCTGGACCGAACAGCTTCTTCTTAGTCAAGGTACTTTCTAAACCCACACTTAATCAGCATATTAGCCACCATAGTCTACATACAAAATTTGTGGTCCGGAAACAGAGATTTTTCCAAAGACCATATGTAGTTAGCCTAAGCATCTCAAATGCCAAGTGCACCATGTGCATTGGTGTAATCTGCAAGATGTAGATGAATGTGTTGTTTAACCAAAATAGCAAACTTCCTTTATCAAGATGTTCAAGAAGCATGTTTCATGTACCAGAATAGCAAGCGAATCAACCTATCAAAATTATCTCAGTAGGACAGACCTCGGATGTCAGGATTTTCCTCCTCATGAACCTGATATATAAGTATAACGTGTTTGAACTCCAACGACAAGCTCTACAAATTTATCTGCATAAAAGTTTAAACAAGGATAATACCAGTAGCTTGTTGAGGATAAAAACATTGACATGGAGCTAGAATGAAGAAACTCAAACCTGTGAGGAACCCAATTAGAGGAACTCGGCTTAAGTATCCATCAGTCTTCTCAAGGCGGTGCCTGGAGAGAGAAGATGTAAGCGGCAAGCCTAGACAAGGCAATAACGGTATACAAAACTGATCGAAAGCCTGAAAGCAAGTGTATCATTAGCTTACTTTGTATACTTGGTAAAGAATGGATCCCTCATGATGTAAAGTGCCCACAACAGCTTTCGCCTTTTCAGCTACATAGCACAATTGATGCCAGTAAACAAAAATAATCACAGCAGTTTAATTCCAATAACATATGATCCTTTATACCAAAGTAACAAACAAAATTAATAAAAAAAAAATTTAATAAATGAAAAACCAAATTTATCTAAGCCACATTTACCTCATATTTCTCAGATGTAGTGAGTTGATAATATTTATCATCACTTCTAGGGCACCGAGTTGTAGAATATGAAAGAAAGCTCATTCCAGCTAGGTCCATGGCCAGTGAAATCAACCATGGTTTCCAAGATCGAATACCATATTTTCTTATAAATAGTACATATATGAGAGGTCTCAGAACAAAAAGCACCTCCCCTGTCACAAATAACCGACTGGAAAGCCCCTTCTGTAACCACAGGTTATAAAGCGTGGGCTTCCCAACTGAAAGAGCTGCAAGAAGAAGGACCACATCATAACTCCATATTACACATAAATTGTGTTAGAAAGAGTTACTAAATATCAAAAGCCAACAGCATTGCTTGCATGACCATGATAATCACATAAAAAAAATGTACCAGAGGCCTTTGAACTCTTGCAAAGCTTTTTTGACCTCATTGGATCCGACACCATTTTTGCATTCTCACCAAACCGGCTCAATGCAGAAATGGCTCTTCCTTCTAGACTCTTAGGTATTGAGCCATGATAATCATGGATACAACCAGGCCCGTTACATCCACCAGGCTCTCTGGCATCCCCGCTCCCTCCATTATAGACTTCCGGAGCAGCTTGCCTTTCATCCACGTTCACTGTTTCCCCACCTCGTAAGAGCATCTTGTATCCGCTATCACGAAAAGCAGCTAACCTCACGAATGCCCTGCACTACACCAAGGCAAGTCAGAGCCCAAAGAAGCAAATGTAAGCACCAAATCCCAAAAAAGATAAACATATGCCGCTACGATCTTACTTCACCGCCTGTGTGACGGCCAGGTAATTCCACTTGCGCCCTTCACCAGCAAACTGCTGGGTTGCAACCTCTACCACAGTCTCCGAATCTTTGATTATTGACAGGCATAAGGACCATGGAAACGTCGACTCTCCCAATCCACGAGGCGGTGTCTTCGTCGGGGCTGTATCGATTATGTGCTGGTTCACGGTACTGAGTATGCCCAAAAAAGCGTACACTGTGAAGGAAATACCAATCCATCAGCATGATTATCCAAAAATGGGACTTCTATCATAATTTAGCTTCGATATTCAACTGTTAACAAATCCGAGACTTAAGCGCTCTCTTCGGTTGATCACTAGCTTATCAACCGGAAAAAAAATCTCTCCCTCGCAACAAGGGAAACCCCAAAAATAAACACTTCAGCGAGCAGCAGAAGTAAAAAAAAACAGTATGGTATCAGTTCTCATAGACATCATAAAGTTAAAAGACGAGGAATATGTTACCAAAATTTCACAGCACCTGCTTCAGGACCGATCTCTGAATTGGAGAAGCGCTCCGGGAGAACCCACGTTATGCCCTAAGGGCAGCAAAATTCGTACTCGATTTAGCCAAAAACGGAAGGAGAGAAAGATCACTTTTGACACCAGATGAGGTGAAAGTAAAAGGGTCAACGAGAGGGTTCTTACACTGGACAATGATTCGAGGAACTGGACGAACTCTCTGTTCTTCCTCACCCAGAGCTTGTAGGCCTCCATGGCGACGCCTCTTCCCACTTCCCCGCGACCACCACAAGTCCCTTTAATTGCGGACTTTCTTTCATATAAACCCCTACTTATATAGATATTTTTGTATGAGTTCCTTAAAAGAAACTATATTTCATTTATACCCTTCTTCTAGTCAGTATTAGCGAATAAACCCTTATAAATTGCTCGAATTACCTATAGATAGTTGTTTACTGGTCCTATCATTATTTTATGGAAATCAGTCCATATAAATCCCTCCCAATTAACTAAAATTTCTATTAATTCCTCTCTATTTAAGTTTAGCATATATCTCTCGTCAAATTAAAAAATATATATTTATTTATTTATTTGTCTTATCCATCTCGTCTATGTATATTTTATTATCATTTTATCTCGTAAAGGGATTATTCGACTTCTAAAATGTGTTCATATGCTATATAAAATGCAAAACAAATAATATTGTTAACACATCAACATCAACAGAAATCACGAATGCTCTTTTGTAATCACCTATGATCATCTTATAGAAACTATAATGTTACGCGGGCAATGCCATGAGCCATTCCTGCTTTAAAACCCGTGCATTGCCTACTTATCCATTGTGTCATTCGACAACTACACTCGTAAATCTTATCCATCTCACCTATATGACTTGTGATTGGGGCGAAAAATGGAGCCCCACATGGAATTTACCTAATCGATGGTTCTACATCCAATCATAAAGCGAGTAGTGGTTGAAGCCACCATCCTAAGTCAATCTTACAATTCAAATTTCATTTCTCTTCCGGATAAAAGCTCTTAAAAAATTGTTTTTTAATAATGAAAACTCGAAAATACCCCAAGTCAATTAAAAAAAAGGAAGAAAAACTTGACTTTTGTTCTTGCATTTGACTTACATGCTTCTCTACATTTCCATCGTTTTCTAGGAGGAATGAGGAATTCAATGGCTCGAGAATCCAGAATTAGTATTAATGGGTGTTTAATTTGCTAACAGATATAAATCTTTATAAACAATAGTTGCAAGCAAAGGAGGGTGTTTGATTGCTTGAAACTGCTATTTATAATAGCGCAAGAATTCAGAATTTACATTTAAGTGGGTGTTTGGTTATTTGCTTGCGACTATAAAAGTTACAAAGCAAAAGAGGGTGTTTAGTTGCTTGAGGTGATATATTTTTCATTATATTACACCTAAGTTACTAATCCGAAATAGATAAATATAGATGTGTTAGAAAAAAAATATACATCTTTTTTATTATGTTAGAGACGAACTTTTATATTGATTATAAAGGAAATATTATATGAAATAGTTTATAGGGAGACAACATCTAATTGTCTCCAATAGTCTCTCTTCGATCTTTTATCCACGTGGGTGCTAAGGGGGGAGGGATAACCCATAATCGTTTATCTTAAACCCTTGTTCATATGGGCAAACAAGTGGAGGGGTGATATTATCTTTTCCTTCCATCTTGGACACCACATGATGGTTACGTGTCGGATGATGATTAGCTGATGGCGTACTCCCTATCATTTATCCCCCCCAAAAGATGTGCTTTGGAGCTTTTACCAGAGAGATCCAAAATGTAGCGTCTTATTCATTCGACAGCTTATACCTCTTCGATCTACAATAAACCTGGTGACATGTTTAGTTCGTTCGGTATGTCTAATCCACCGTGCACTTCACATCATATGGAATGTGTTCGTCTAGCAAATCTGTTCAAGATCACCTCCTCCCATATTTGCTGGTAGTGATCTATTAACGACCTGCTAGTTATATCATCAAGGGATGTACATTAGCTGAATGAGGTTGGGTTTTACAACCACCACACCTCGGATAAAGGCAAGGGTTGAACTTCCAAACCTCCGTGCCTCTGTGGAGGCGAGGGTTGGACTTCCCAACCCCCAAACCTCAAGCAGAGTTGGGGGTTGGGCTTCCTAACCTCCTTGCCTCGAACAGAATCAGGGTCAAGCTTCCTAACCTTCGTGCCTCAAGCGAAAGTAAGGTTCAGACTTTTCGACCTCTATATTACTAGTTACATATGCTTTGTAAGCCAATCATGTGAGTGATGACACGTGTGACATGATACACAATCTTTTTTGTTATTATTATTATTATTATATTTTTTTCACTTCATATTATGTGATAAATATATATTGTGATATCCTTAGATCTATACAATGAGAATTAGATCATGATGAGATCATAATAGTGAGACTAATTTGCTTATAAACATTGATCGCTAAATATTCTCGATCATAGATTACTCGAGAGGGACATCCAAATAGCTAGATAAACCGGTGTGCTATATACCCATCCATATGATGGAGATAGCTAATCTCATAGTTGCTTGTGTGGAGTCACTATGGATATAGTGTAAGTGCTCATTGGAGAATGAGTTCACTAAATGATCCATTTATAGAATAGTAGATAGTTAATGATACCTCAACGTTAGACAATGATTATGTGATCCCAGTTGCATATCTGGTCATTAGACTTGAGACACCAAATATACCCTGTTTGAGTATTATATTTTTTAATACTAGACTTATATATTTGGAAGTTTCAAATATAGCACAACCGGTCATCATGAGTGGTAGCCAACCTTACAAGGCAATTAAGTGTCAACAGATGATTATCCACTCTCGATATCATGAGAGAAATATCTCATATATTTTCACTGAAGCAAATCTCTAGCCCCAGGGTCACTCAGGTCGTGATGAATCCAATAAAAGTGAGATTCATATTGAGAGAGAATAATTAACTGAGTCAAAAAGAGTTTTAATAAGTGCAAGTCATGACCAGCTCGGTATTGGGTCTAAAGAGTCATATACATATAGTGGATGATACGACGAATAGAAGATTGTATATGTGATATCCAATAAGCCATCGTTTTAATGGATCATTAAGAGAGACCCAATAGAGCTTAGAATGATTATTGGACAGAGATTCAATATTCATTAAGCTAGGGGTTATTGGATGGAGATTCAATACCAAAAAAGAAGGATTAGTTAGGATTAGTTAAATAAGGCTCTCTATAAATAGGAGTTGAGACTAAAAGGGATTATAGGCTACACCTTGGCTGCCACTACCTCCTTTATCTCATACTTATCCTTTCCTCTAGTCGATTGCCCCCTCTTTGGTGTGAGAGGACAGCCTGATTCCTCTTTGGGGTTTGGTGGTGCATAAATGCGAGGAAAGAACATGGGAGGTGCATCATCACCATATCCGTTGTGTGGATCATCACTAGAGAGGATTTTGTGAGAGTTCCTTCATCCATGGACTAAGATTTATAGTTACGGAGATATATGATCTCCGCTATGTGAGAATGTCTCAACCACTTTATGCAGTTACGTGATTTTTGTTGCTTTCGAGTTTTACACTCGTGATCTTGCACGACGATTCGATAAATTTAATTTTGGGAAACCAATTTTGGTTTTTATTTTTCACTATGCATATGATGCTTTCTGTACTTTCCCAACAATGGTATCAAAGCCAAGTTGCTTATGCAAAGATTGATTATTAAATGCATCTTGTGTTGAATCGCATAAAATCGATTTTTGCATAAAGTAGTTGTGTTTGTTACCGATTACAGATTTGAACTGCATCTATTTTGACACTTTAAAAATTTCATCAACCATTGGTTTGTCATCAGAATAGTTGCTAAAAACTGGGCAAAAAGGACGACAAGTGTTGCAGCCCAACAACATCGGCTGAAGGCTGCTTACAGCCTTAGCTGAGAGAAGCACTTGTTGCTCTCGGCCTAGCTAAGGGTTGCATGGTCGAGAGCAGCCTTGTTGCTCTCAGCTAAGCCGAGTAAAGCCTTTACGGCCAGGGTTTCTTGGTCGCCCAACCAACCCATACGACCAAGGTTTCCTAGTCGATTGGGATACCCTGTGTGGATGCTACAGATTTTCTCAAATTGGATTAAGGATTAATTCAAGTATTAATTAAATATTTAATTAATTATTATCTAATTAGTGTATATATACATGTAATGTATGACGTTGATATATGATCATAGGTCGTGCAAATTGGATTTTCATTATATTTGATATGCATTTCTATCTCCCTGATGTACCTCACCTTGATATGATTAAGATTTCTCATTGATGTGATATATATATTTTTGGGCTTATATGCCTATAATTAAGTTGTAATTGCACGAGATGACACGACATGAGCATGAAGGTGCTAGTGGAACCCACGAGGACGAGACAAATGTTCGTCGGGCATAGAGATGCACCAAGGTGTCGACATAATCAATGAGATGAGATGAACGATCATTCGACATGGAGATGCGTCGAGACTACTATTCATATGGACTCTACAAGCCAATCACATAAGTGATGACACGTGTAACATGATACACACTCTTTTTTACTTATTATTTATTTAATATTTTTTTTTTTCACTTTATTGCATATTGCATATATTGTGATGTCAATAGATTTGTGTAATGAGAATTGAATCGTGATTAGATCATGATAATCAGACCGATTCACCTTTAAACATAAATCCTAAATAATCTTGGTCATATGTTACTTGGGAGAGATATCGAAATAACTAGATAAACTGGTGTGCTATATACTTATCTATATGATGGAAGCGACCGGTCTCATAGTTGCTTGTGTGGGGACACTAGTATACAATGCGGGTGCTTATTGGAGAATGAGTTCACTGATCGATTCATTCATATATGAGTACTTCACTATTTGATACTAGACTTATAGGCCCAGTAGTTCTAGATCTAGCAACATCGATTTTCGAGAGTGATAGTCAACCTTACGAGGGCTATTGAGTGTTGATAGAGGATCATCCACTTTTGGTGTCATATGAAGAATATTCTATGTGTTCTTGTTAAAGCAAATCCTTGGCCAAGTTTATTTGGATTGAGAGATAAAAAGTTCTTCCGGAGAATCCGATTAGAACGAGACTCGAGTATATTTCATATGGGTCTGATGGCACTATGCCTGGTATATGGCCTCTGGGATGTTAGATGGATTATAGATACATGATAATTGAGGACAAACATGTCCAATCAATTGGATTCCTCTATATCGTTTAGGGACTGGAGCGTATTGGCCTAATACATTCGTAGTCGATGTATCGAGTGAATCATTATAAAGATAATAATTCACTGAAGTAGAAGGAGTTTTGACAAATATGACTTACAACCAGCTCGATATTAGGCTCAGGGGGTCATACTCATATGATTAGTGTTGCAACGAGTAGAGGTTCAGATATGAGATATTCATTAAGCCATTAAATTATTGGATCTTGTGAATAAGATCCAATAAGAGATTATTGGGTAGAGATCTACTAATCCTCTCCCATACTCCTCTCTTCCTCTCTTCCTCAGTCAACAGCCCCCTATTTGGAGCATGTGGACAACACGAAGGGTCAGTACCTTCTTGATTACATGGTGCGCATGGAAAGAATGATTATGCAGTGATTTGAGTAGTGTCTTCATAGCTCCTACCATATGTATCACCATTAGAGAGGAGGACAGTTAACCTCCTTCATTCTTTCCCATAGATCTATAGGATTTTAGGAATATACAATCTCCCTATATGACATATCTTTCATATATATATAGTTTTTCGGTTTTATAATTTTTGCACACTAATCTTCATATAACGATGAAATATTTTTTATAGAAAAAATAAAATTTATTTTTTCTTTT